GGGAAGGGAAGGGAAAGGAAGGGAAGGGAAGGGAAGAAGGGAAGGGAAGGGAAGAACGGAAGGGAAGAAGGGAAGGGAAGAAGGGAAGGGAAGGGAAGGGAAGAAGAGAAGGGAAGGGAAGGGAAGAAGGGAAGGGAAGGGAAGGGAAAGGAAGGGAAGGGGAGAGGCTTCTGATAAAGTTCATGGTAGAAAACTTGCCTAGAATCCCCTGTTGAGGTTTTGGGGTGTGGCTCAGCAACCTGGGTCCCAGCATGGCAAAAATATTTAAAAGAAAAAAGCAAAACAGACACTTCCAGCAGATCACACAGGGATGAAATGCTGCCATTTCAAGGGTCAGAGGGTCAGTAACATGGAAGGAATTGTTTGTCCCAGGGCCCCACAGGACTCCCTGCCTCTAGAACCCTGTATAGGAACTGTGTGTACAGCTGGGCCTGTGCACTAACTAGTGCCAACACCCCATCAGGACCTCACACTGTTGCAGCCCAACATGCCATCAAAATGGCCACTCTTCCTTCCCTCCCCAAGATGTCCCACCTGGTTCTAGACATGCCAGCCTGTTGTGATCCAGCTGCCCTCACTCCCCCTGACTGGCAGGGGAACTTCCTTGTGGTCTGTAATTGACAAGGATGTTTGTGTTCTTTCTGGCCGGTGGGTCTCCACAGAAGGAGTAGAGGTATAAAAGGTTGCAGGGCAAAATAAAGGTTGCTGTTCTTCCACCTGAAAAGAAGCCTCCATGTCTCAATCCCGGCACGCACGCACGCACGCACGCACACACACACACACACACACACACACACACACACGCCAGTCTTGGCTATCCAGGCTGCGCAGGCCGCAGCACCAGCCTATCACTTCCAGCCCCCCCCCAGCTCTCCCCTCCCAGGATACTTCATCTGCAGGCTTCCTCCTATCATCACCCCACATTCAATTCCTGATTTCACACACTGAACCCCGTCTCTCCTGACCCCTCCACTCCCAGCTGAGGCTTCCGTTTACCTATAGGCTCTCCTCACTTAAAGCTAAGGCAAAGCCTCGCCTCACAGCTTTCCACTGAATTTGGAATGAAAGGTGAATCTTTTGAAGAGCCCCTCAAATCTGCCCTAGCCCCCCACACCCCCAACCCTCTGGGGGTGGGGGAAGATGAGGGAGAATTGCAGCTGCCAGCCTATCTGGTCCCAAACAATGTGATTTGCCTTGGAGGGAAGTGGAACCCAGCCCACAACTGAGGGACACAGGGTCTCAGGGTATCAGAACAATCTCTGAGCAGGTATCCCAGGGTGTCTGATGTCTTTTTCTGATTTCTGTGGGTACCAGGCCTGCATGTGGTACACATACATACAAGTAGGCAAAGTATTCATACATACAAAATACGCCATGCCTAGGTGTCTACCTTAAAGCTGTCAGAGGAGAACCTGGCTGTGGCGAAGCCTGAAGGATACAGCCCCTCCCCTCATCATCATCCTCATCTTCTAAGGATGCAGCTTCAGTCCCAGCCGTGCAATCCTTCAAGGTCCTTCTGGGCATCTGAGGATGTGGTCTGTGGCCAACTTTGCTTGAGTCCTGAGCATGGCCTCCCCATCTGGATGGTCTCAAGACCTTACTGATACACTCAAGTCTCCTGGGCCCTGCAGCCAGCTCACTCTCTCACACTGCCGTGACATCTCAGCGAAGGACGGAAAGGGTGAACGGAAATCCTGCATGTGTTTCTGTTATGCTCGAAGCAGGCTGGAGGCACATTTCCAGCATGTGAAAAGGGGACCACTGTCATCCTTGGGTACAGATGTGGGACTGAGCTATGGACCCAGATCTGCTGCTTACTCACAAAAGCCCTTTAGTGCTTGGGAGGCTGAGGCAGGAGGATTGTGCATTTGTGGATCTGAGGCCAGCCAGGGCTACCAATGAGACCACACCTCAATAAATAAATAAAGCCCTGACAAGGTTTCCATTGCCGTTGGGAAGCAGAATCATACACCTGTAAGGCCGTACAAAACTTGCATGTAATATTGGTGTGTTTGTTTCCACCTTGACATGGGTGCTGGGGCTGGAACCGAGGTCATCAGGCTTGCATGGCAAGAACTTTCACCTGCTGAATCACCTCAATAGCCACGCTGGAGCTTTTGAGGAACAAGTTTTACTTTATTACATAATTTTTAAGATTTATTTTTCTTCTAATTATGCATGTGTGTTTACTGTGAAGCCAGAGGAAGGCATTGGCTCCCAGGTGCTGCAGTCACAGGTAGTTAGGAGTCACCTGATGTGAGTGCTAGGAACCAAAGGGGCCTCTGGAAAAGCAGCGCGTGCTCTAAAGCACTGAGCCGTCCGTCTCTCCAGCCTGTATGTGTGTATTTATATAACACACAGCACAACATAGGTGTGAAAGTCAAAGGATAACTTGAAGGAGTTAGTTCTCTCCTTCCACCATGTGGATTCCAGGGATCAAATTCAGGTCATCAGACTTAGTGGCAAGCACCCTTATGTTGGGAATTAGGTCTGCACAATAAATAACCAGACCAGCTCAAGAATAACAGTTATATTTTAATAGTTGAAAAGGGGAAACTCGCTACAAGACTGGGAGGTCCGACGTCCTATATGTCCGGTGGGCACCGCGCAGAGAGAGGGAGCGACGCACCAGGATCTCCCAGTATTTCTACTTCAGGCTACCCCCGGCAGCACCCAAACGCTGCCCACTCACCATCCTCCCTGCCTCAGTGAGAAGGGCACACCCTGGGTTGTCCTGAACTCTTCTCACTGGCCCATGTCCCAGCATAAAGCAGTCCTGAACGCACTATGTTCAAAGTAGACCCAGGATCTAACCATGTCTAGGCCTGATCTGAGCACACAGCTGGTGACACAGAACCCGAGGCCAGCAGTATCTCCACCTGCAAGGTTCCCCCATCCCAACTCCACTTCCCATGTTCTGGGGACTGATTGTCCAAACAGACTGGGGCACTGGACCAATGACTAGGGCTGTGGTTGCAGGACTTCAGTATGCCTTTACCACACTTTCTACTAAGAGACCACTAGAGGTGCCTGCTCACACTGACCATAGGTCCAGTTCCCCTGTGCAAAACCCTCCTCAGAAACTTCTTTGCTAAGGCACCTCTACCTCCTAGCTCCTGACCAGGAAATCTGCCCCAGCAATAATGGTATACTCATATTCTATTCTGCATCTCTGTGTATTTAAACATTTACACAGCAAGGTCAGGCATGGTGGTACACTCCTTTCACGACAGCATTCAGGAGGCAGAGGCAGGCAGATCTCTGAGCTCAAGGCCAGTCAGGGCTACATAGTGAGACCCCCCCAACTCAGAGGAAGGGGGAAGAGAGGGAAGGACAGTAAATTTTACATAGCAAAATATTTTGAAAAAGAACTAATTCTACCTCTAGAAGCCACATGTGCCCCAGTGACAGAACATGGTGGCGGTGGTGGGTGAGGAGATCTGGGACTGACCCAGTACTTGTGATCCCTGCGACCTGGAACATTCCCAGATCCTAGCTTTTTGTCTGTACAAATGGGGCTAGCAGTAGCAGAGCGAGCTGCAGCTAGACACAGCGCACCCGGGGCTCAGAAGTGTTGTTGTTGTTCAAGGAAGAGGGGGGAAGCCAGAAGCTGGAATGTGAAATCAACTCAGTAGTCTATGGGGTCCCAACCTCAACCATGTCAAGAAAATTTGGCCCCTCACCAGCTGGTGGGAAGGAGCCCTAACCTAGGGATATAGGGATGCCCTTCATAGTGAACCTCTGGTTGGCCTGCAGCCTTGACGGCTTCAAGCGGCCTTTGCTGTCACTTTAACTATGGCTGCACCTAAACTATCAGCTCTATCTAATTTATGGGCAAGCTAGAGAAAAAGGGTCAGCCTCCAGGCCAAGATGTGACATTAGCCGGTTAGACTAAGGTGGTGAGGCTAGGGCCCTCACGGAGATCCTTATGAGAGACCATAGAGTTCTTGCTCAACCCTCCCATGTGTGAGGACGAGGCTGAGAGCAACAGGTGTGAATGAAGAAATAACCTCGTGCTGGGCAGTGGTGACACACACCTTTAATCCCAGCACTCAGGAGGCAGAGGCAGGCGGATCTCTGCGAGTTCAAGCCTGGTCTACAAGAGCTAGTTCCAGGACAGGCTCCAAAGCTACAGAGAAACCCTGTCTCGAAAAACCAAAACACAGCCTCATTAGGTCCTAGATCCTGGATGCCTTGAGTTGATATTTAGAGCTCAAACACTAATGTGTAAAACAGCCAATAGATTGCATTTTTCTTACCATATCCTAGTGTAAAACACTAATCCTCTTAGTGTCAGTATCATCACATCCTTCCAAAGCTTCTTCATTGCAGAGTCTTCCTCTCATCCTCCGCAGCCCAACAAGCTGCTCAGATAACTAACTTCCTCCAGGCATCCTGCCACACACACCTCTAATGCCAGCCAGCACAAAGGAAGCAGAAGCAGGTGGGTCTCTGAGTTCAAGAGCATCCTGGATCCTAGTCTGCAGAGTAAGACACTATCTCAGAGAGAGAGAGAGACAGAGAGAGAGGGGAGAGGAGAGGGAGAAGGAGGAAGAGGAAGAAGGAGGAGGAGGCGGAGGAGGGCAAGAAAGTTCCTTCTCCCTGCAGATCCTGCAACCAGACATCATATTTTACACTCATTTTATTTTCTGGCTCCCCATCTGAAGTGCCAACTCCATGAGCGTATGGCTACATCTGTCCTGGTCTATCCTCAGAACTTAAAAGAGAGCTAGGCTCCAAGAATGTACTAAGTACTAAACAGACAAAGAGCAAACATGCATGACAAGACATGACAGACCTGCAGCCTGGCCAGGAGTTGATGGTAGTGAAACAGGGTACAGAAGTCCACGTGAGTTGAGAACGCCTCCAAAGCCGCTCTCTCTGCTGGGCTAGAGTGGAACTCCTGGTAGCCAGAAGAAAACCTCGTTAGGCTTCTTTCCTCTTCCTCCAGAGAAGGTTACCTTTCATGGTAACCCATATACAGGATGGGAACTCTGGACCAATTGTACAGCCGCAGTATACATCGCATAGGGAGAGCCAGAGGCTGGGCACCTGCTCCGCACTAATGTTAAACATTCCCAGAATGTGTGCCGTGTGGCAGGTGCTCTTTCTTGACAGAATCATCCCCCAGAGAAGAGAGATGGTTGGTGGAGTTAGAACCCCAGTTTTTCAAAGGGGGAAACAGGCTCAGTGAAGCCATTTGCAGAGGGTCATGAAGGCCCACCTGGCTCCAGAGTGCCACATGAAGGTAGCCATTATCCAGACAAATGTCCAAACCTGCCTGAGCTTCAGTTTCCTTGTCAGCAGATGGCTATGGAGAATTTATTTATTTTTTGTGCATGTGTGTTTTGACTGTGTGTATGTACATGACATCACGTGTATGTCTAGTGCCAACAGCCGTCAGAAGAGGGCACTGAATCCCCTGGAACTAGAGCAATGCATGACTGTGAACTACCATGTGGATGCTAGAAGCAGATCCTGGGTCTCCCGCAGAGAAACAAATGCTCTTAATTAATAAGCCATATTCCCAGCCCAATTATGGGAAATTTTAATGAGACCATCCATATGTGCGCTATGTGCACGGGTATATATTCTAGCATAGGACTTGGTATACATGACAGGCGATCAATAAGTAACTTAGAGTAATGACCGTCTCCAGCAGCGGTAGATCTGACAGTGATGGCGGACTGAGAGCTCAGACTCTCAGTACATCAGGGGTGAGGTAAGGCACTCACTCGGAGAGTCAACCAAATGTGAGTCATTGCTCTGCTTCTACCTCACCTGTAAAATGGGTTGATGGTAGTCTTTCTTACTGAGTTGTTCTGATGGTTCTATACATGACAACCATGTAGCCCTGGGCCACAGAGTAAGAACTCAAAGTGTGATAATAATTATTATAGATTTGAAGGTACGATTTTATTACGTAGTAGAAAGTAATGATGAGGAAGACAGTTAAATCTATTTCAAGGGAAAACCTCAGGTCTCAGAGTGCCTGTTTAAAGCCCGGAAGAAGCCCGGGTCTGGAGTTCATTAGGCAACTCATCTTGGAGCTCTTGCCCCTGCATTCTAACTCTTCTTGCAAACACTGGCATGCTAAGGGACCAGGAACTACAACTCCCGGGAGGCGCTAGAGCAGTCCTCAATAGCAGGTATAGTGGTGCAGTCGTAAGGTCGGCTGGAAATTGTAGTCCCCAGGCTCTTAGACCACTGATGGGCAGTACCTGTATCAGGAGGCGGAGCAGCTGCTCCTTGGAGAATGGAATGAAGCGCTCGCGGTACTGCTGGGCCCAGTCGCGGGGCTCCGTGGGGTTCCACATCTTTCGGTACTCCCCCATCTTGTTCGCCAGGGACGACAGAGCCCGGGGAGTCCCAAGAAGAGCAGGCACCAGGGACCACACTCGGACCTTGGACCCCCAGGTCACATGCAACATGGCCAGCCCCCTTTCCCAGAGCCTAAACATAAGCAAATGAGGTGTCAAAGGTCAGTTGGAGGCAGTACCTCCACGCACCCCGCCCTTCGGGGGGGAGTCTCTATTTTAGCTTTCTTGTCCGGTTCCTTCTACACTGCACATTTAGGTGGGTTACAGACTAGGGGCAGAGGTCGTAGTTTGGAACATTTTGCAGGCTCTGGGGCTCTGTAGTGGTACAGGTGGTCTCTGCGGAGCTTTGACAGCGAGGTGAATCTCAGGAGTGTTGAGAAACCAGGAAAAGTTAATAGCAGGTGCTGGGCCGTCCTCCCTGGGCCATGCAATCCCCCACCCTTCCCTCACCTTAGCCGACGCGCCACTGTCATTGAGCCTTCTGCGCATGTGCACGGCGAGGTCCTGGGCCCAGAGGATAGGCTTCAGCAAACAGTTAGACGCATGCGCAGAGCCTGGGTCTTTGAACCCATTTTTTTTAAGAGCCTTTATCTCAATTACGCATGCTTCACCGCTAATCTGTGTTTAGGTATGCGCACGCGCCAAAGAAGCGTCACCCGGCCCGCTATTTCAAAGAGAGAGGCGGGGCGGGTGCGACAAATCCGGAGGCTGGGGCGGGTCGGGCCCTCGAGCGTGAGCCCGGCCAACGGCGACCCGCCCAACGTCGGCCGAAGCCACGCCCATCCTCTAATCAGCTTGGATAGGTGGAAAAGAAAGGGCGGGACTTGGGTGCAGCCAATCACCTGTAGAGAACAGAAAAGGCGGATAAAGAGGACCCAAAAGGAGGCTAGAGGTGTGGCCTGGGAGCGGGAGAGGAGGGCTGGCGGACGAGGATTCTAGTTCCCAAAGGTGAACGCTGGTCCTCGGCCCTCGGAGAATAGGTGGTCCTCCTCCGGCAGCGCCCCCCCTGGGGTGAGAGAAGGCCCTCTTCTAAGAAGGTTGTCCCGTGAGTGGCGGTTGACAGACCAGACCTCAGTATGAGACAATGTGTCTTCCTGAGATAGAGCTAAAGCCTAAGCAAGGTTCATGTTATGGGAAATGACCCAAGTCAGGGAATATCTCAGATATACCTGGGCCGTCCACGGCCTTCTACGCCAAGGGAGCTAGGACTCTCGTCTACAGCCCTCCTCACTAATGCCCCATGTCCTGGGGTCCCTAACCACTCTGACAGCAGGTCTGTCACCCTCATCCTGTATCCGCAATGCCAGGGTCTTCAGAACCCTTATCGGCTCCTGAGACCTCCAACAGTCCTTGAGCCTACTTCCAACTTCTAGGACCTGGGTTCCCATTCCCAGAACCTATCGTCCCTTACCCCAGCACCCAGGACCACCCAGCAGGTTCTCACCCCATATTCCTGACTACTGAAAACTGAAGCAGCCCCTTCGCCCTATTCCCCTCTCTTCCTAAAGCTCCTAATAGCCCCTAGGTCCATCCTTCCCCGCCTTGGGAGTCCAGTTCAGGGGACCCTCGGTCTCAAACTGGCTCCCACCTCTGGACACCCAGTCCTCCCTTGACACCAGACGCTGACTCCAGCCTCCACCCTACCCAAGCCTGAGCCAATGCTCCCACCTCCCAGCACCCTGACTCAGACATTCCCATTTGTGTTGTCTTGCAGCAATTGAGGCCTGGGGTGGGCTTGAAGCACACAGACAGCGGTGCCCAGAAAGCAGCACCCAACACCCCTGCCCCTACCTCCCAGGACACCCAAAGAAAAGCAGCCACTATGCATCTTCCTGAAAGCCTGCAGGACCTGGCGGACAGTGAAACTGTACGCTTTCTGAAGAGACCAAAGAGCATCTCGAGGGTCTGCGGAGGGGTGAGACCTTGCGGATCAGTTCTCGGATCGGGAAGAGGGAGGGGTCAGATAGGGAAACAAGCACACAGGAGCCTAAAGCTGAAGCCACCTTTTATTGAGGATCTGGTCATGCAGCTAGCCGTTCTCAATACCAGTTAACTCACCACAAGAAAGGGCCCCACAAACTTGGGCATGATTTGTAATACCAGCACATGAGAGACTGCAAGAGGAGAATTGTCATGGGTTTGAGGCTAGTCTAGGTGACAGTGTAAGAAAAAGAAAAAAGTGAAAAAGAACCCTTTAAAGGAGAAGAAAAATATCCCTCCCCCCAAGAAAAATCCCCCATAATTTCGACAAATGGAATCAGAGCATTTGAAGACTGCTTGCCCAGTGGGGTAGCCACAAACTACATGAGCTACTCCAATTGCAACTAATTTAATTCAAATAGCATTCATACACTCAGTAGGGCTATATTTCAGGGGCTGAGCTGCTGCAAGTACCTCGTGGCTTTCCCATTGGACATCATAGGTTCAGGACATTTTCATCATGCCAGAAAATTCCATTAACCAGCATCCATTAAAGTTAACACAGAAAGGGACAGTACCACTGCGTTCTATGAGATACCCATTCATTTTCCATTTCCCAGGTGGGAATGGGGAAAACAGGGTCTGAGGTCTATTTCAAACAGGAAAAGATCTACAGTACGCAACAGATTCAGGCATCCGGTGTGAGTGGTCACTGTCAGGCATGGGGCTGATGCTTTCTGTGCACCCTTTAGTCACCACCATATCCCCAGAGTCAGGACACTCATGCTGTGTGGCCTTGACATCGAACCAATCACTGCCTCTCAACATCAGTACAGAAGTCATCTATCTAGGCGTATGAGCTTAGCCTGCACTGCTTCCTTCTCTTTTAAATTATTTGAATGTGCCTTCATGAGTTTATGTGCACTACATGCATGTAGGCACTGGTGAGGCTAGAGAGTGCCAGATCATCTGGAAGTGCAGTCAGAGCTGACAGTCGGGGCTTCTGGGAACCGAAACCTGGATCCTCTGTAAGCACAGCGTCTTAGTTACTGTTCTATTGCTGTGAAAAGGCACCATAGCCAAGGCAACTTATACAAGAAAGCATTTAATTGAAGCCCTGCTTAGAGTTTCAGAGGGTGAGTCCATGAGCATCAGGGCAGGGAGCAAGGCAGCAAGCAGGTATGCATGTATGCATTCATGGAGCTGGAGCAGTGGCTGAGCGCCTATTTTCTATCTGCAAGTTAGAGGCAGAAAGAGCAAACCGGAATGGCATGGGCTTTTGAAACCTCAAAGTCTACCCCTAGTGACACACCTCCTCCAACAAGGCCACACCTCCTAATCCTTACCAAATAGTTCCTCCTACTAGGGACCAAGCATTCAAATATATGAGCCTGGCCAAGGCATAGTGGTACACATCTGTTGAAGGAGCTGCGGGCTGTGTTCCTGCCGCCTGGCTCCTGGCCACCTGGCTAGCTTATGCCCCAAAATAACAACACACAAACTGTATTCATATAAACACTGCTTGGCCCGTTTCTATTAATGTGTGTAGCACCATGAGGTGCGCTTACCAGGAAGATTCTAGCCTACGTCCATCCTGGTTGGATGCTTCATAACGTCTGCCCTGGGAAGCGGCATGGTGTCTCTGACCTCACTTCCCTTCTTCCCAGCATTCTATTCTGTCTACTCCACCCACCTAAAGGCTGGCCTATCAAATGGGCCAAGGCAGTTTCTTTATTAGCCAATGACCTTCCTCCATCACACATCTTTAATCCTAGCACTCAGGAAGCAGAGGCAGGAGGATCTCTGTGAGTTTGAGGCCAGCATAGTTTGCACAGCAAACTCCAAAACAGCCAAAGCTACATAGAGAGACCCTGTCTCAAAACAAACGAAAATCAAACATATGAGTCCATGGGGGCCATTCCCATTCAAATGACCACATGCAGTACATCCTCTTAACCACTGAGCCATCTCTCATGATCATGCCCCCACACACCCTCTTTTACATCTGGGATATCTTTTGTATATTTTCGTTGTTTGAGACAGGCTCTTAGTTCTGTAGCCCAACCAGACTGGCCTTGAATTCATAACAGAGCTTCTGTTTGAGCTTCCCTGAGTGTCGGGATATAGGCATGAGCCAGCCATGCTCAGCCAGCCTGTTTCTGCTTCTGTTGTTTTCCCCAGACAGAACTGGCAACTGAGGCCCAACGATGAGATCTGGTTAGGGTCATGGGAGCTGGAACCATCCTTCTGATCTGGTTCTGCAGTGAGAGTCTCCCCAGGTTCCTAATCCAGAGTATCCAGACTATCTTCTCTGTCCTCTGGAACAATTCAGACAGGCCTAATTTTGAGTCTTAGCCTATATGTCCATCAGAGGGACAAACTACCCTGTTGTTTGGGCTGCCCCAGGCATAGCCAGCAGCAGCAGCGCCATTCCTTCCCAGAAATGACCCTTTGGCTCACTAACTTACATGGTCAGACTGTGGCCTGACACATCCATCTTCTCAGAACCCGTGTCCTCATCTGTAACAAAAGCGCCCAATACCCCCACTCCTGGGCAGGATTGCTGTGAAGATGAGACAAGGCAATACATATACACGCTGACTAGCAGGGGGCTGGCAAATGCTGAGCTCTCCTTAAATAGCAAGTATTGTCACTAAAATAATTCTCAACTGTGAGGGAGGAGAGGGCTGGAGGAACCTGGGATGACAGGAACTGGTGCACGCTGTCTTTTATTGTCAGAAGAGGGGACTTACGACTGTCACACACTGCTCCCTGGTGCCTTCTCTCCTCACCCCAACCTATGACAAGGACATACTAATATGTATAACCCAAGGGGAAACTGAGACTCCAGACGGAGGTTGAGTGATCGATCTGTCAAGGTCATTACCCATCAAATGAAGAAGTCAAACTCAGATCCACTCACTGTCTCCAGTGCCTGGAAAGGGGAAGCAGGCATGAAGGAGCAGGGATCCCAGCTGGTACAGCCAAGGGCAAGCCAGGGAGAAGGCAGCCAGCCATGCTAGACCTTGTGGTCATGGACTTTGCCTGGGCTCCATCCTCCCTCCCCAACAGTCTCCCTCCCCTGGCCTAGTTCCTCAGTGGGAGTCTCTGGGCAGCTGGTATTCATGTCCTCCGTGCTTCTTGCCAGCTGGTATCTGAACTCATGAATCTTTGTTCCCCTCCTGGAGACAAGTGAAGGAGGGTGCTGAAAGAGATGGCTCTCAGCCTTCAAGGAAATAGGATCCCCAGCTAGTTGATGCCCCTCCCCACATTTCCAATGCCCTAGGCTCCACTGTGGACTAACAGCCCCTGGGGCCCGGAAGTCAGGAGGGCTGGACTCAAGCCCCACCCTAGAGCAGCTAACTTTAAGGGTCTGCTTCCTCTCTAGTGAGTCCTGTGAACCAATATTGTCCTGAGCAGTTCCCAGACCTGAGCCCCCACGGTTCTCCGTAGCATAAACACACTGGGAAGCTGAGGTCCACGGTCTGAGTGCCTTGCTCAAACTACGCAGCTTTGCAGAGTCAGAAACGCATGGCTCTTTCTGCTGTGTTGTAGTGCGGTAGGGAATCAACAATGTGTACTTCCCTTTGTGAGGTGGTACACACTTGCAGGGAGGAGCACGGGTAAAAAGAATATGAGTTCAAAAATAATTGATGTGCCCTCCTGTTCTTTCCTGGTCTCATCTTGGCATGAGCAGTGTGCTTCCTCAAGACTGAGCCTTAGCTCCCGGACCAGTGGTCCTCACCCTTCCTAGTGCCGTGTCACAAAATCATCTCATTGCAACTTCATAACTGTAATTCTGCTGTTATGAATCGTAATGTAGGAAAGGTTGAGAACCATTGTCCCAGACCATCTTACAGCCTTCCTTCATGAACTTAACTAGAAAGTACTTGGCAAGAAGAGAGACTAGTTATTTTTATTATAAAGCGATACTGAAGGAGAGCGAGGAAAACGGGACAAAGGCAGGTGATTAGGGAAGGCCTTTTACCTCACCCCACACACTGAAGGATATGAAAGAGTTTCTCTTCACACATTAATGGAGGTCCTACCTGCACTGCTGCAAACATACACATCCCTGCAGAACTGTCCCTGGGAATTCAAATCTTATCAAAATTTTCCTTTTTCTTCTGCACAACTTCCCATTGTTTACAGTTAGAGCCAAAATGTCTCTGAATTCCTCAGGGCTCTGTTCTCCCTCCCAGCCTGCTCTGGGATTTTCTCTCTCACCCTTACCCTTTATACAGTCCATCGGCCACGTGACCCCAGAGAACTTCCCCAATCCCTGGGTCTGGCCCTACCTATCTTAGGACCCTTCCATGCTCGAAGAAATTCTTTTTTTTTTCATTTTTTATTGATATTTATTGAGCTCTACATTTTTCTCTGCTCCCTCCCTGACTCTCCTCTCCCCTTCAATCCTCCCCCAAGATCCCCATGCTTCCAATTTACTCAGGGGATCTTGTCTTTTTCTACTTTCTACTTCCCATGTAGATTGGAGCTATGTAAGTCTCTCTTAGTGTCCTCATTGTTGCCTAAGTTCTCTGGGATTGTGGTTTGTAGGCTGGCTTTCTTTGCTTTATGTTTAAAAACCAGCTATGAGTGAGTACATGTGATAATTGTCTTTCTGTGTCTGGGTCACCTCACTCAAAATAATGTTTTCTAGCTCCGTCCATTCTCCTGCAAAATTCAAGCTGTCATTATTTTTTTCTGCTGTGTAGTACTCCACTGTGTAAACGTACCACATTTTCCTCATCAATTCTTCGGTTGAGGGGCATTTAGGTTGTTTCCAGGTTCTGGCTATGACAAACAAAGCTGCTATGAACATAGTTGAGCACATGTCCTGCTCAAAGAAATTCTAACGAGGGGCTAAAGAGATGGCTCTTGTTTTTCCAGAGGACCCAAGTTCAACTCTGACCACCCAAATAGTGGCTCACAACCATCCTTAACTCTAGTTCCAGGGATCTAATGCCCTCTTCTGCCCTGAATGCACCAGAGACACAACTGGTACGTGCATACATCCAGGCTAAACACTCATACACGTAAGCACACCTGGTACATGCATACATCCAGGCTAAACACTCATACACGTAAAGTAGATCTTAGAATTAAAAAATTCAGATGAGAGTTTTAACTGTCACACCTCCTTGGGTGTGATGTTGCAGTCTTAGAGCACTAGCTCTTGCCTGCATAGATATCCTGCATATCAGATATTTACATTACAATTCACAACAGTAGCAAAATTACAGTTATGAAGTAACTAAATGATTTTATGGTTTGGGGTCAGCGCAGCATGAGGAGCTCATATAAAGGGTCACAGCTTTACGGAGGTTGTGAGCCACTGGATTATAGGCATGTACCACCGTGCCTTGCAAAACTCCCTTAACATCCAGATCTCAACTTACTACTTTCTAAATTCAGCCCAGAACTTTGGTTTCCACCCAAACTCCAGCTCTTGTCCACTCTGCTCTGACCTGACTCCCCAGTATGCAGACTTACACCTCAGCCAGCTAACTCTACAGCACCCGAAGGCTTTTTCCAGACTGCGAGCTGATCCTGCCCTGCCCTGCTCACAGCCTTCCAAGCAATGGTCCCACTACTCAACACTTCTCATCCTGGAGCATTCCATGAAGAATGTCTGCTGGACCAACTTCCTTTCTACCCAGTAGACACACAAAGGTTCCTTCCATACCTGACATATGGCTTTCCACACTGCAGTATGACAGGGGCTTCAGTCTTTCACAAGTTTGTGCTAATAGGAGACTCTGCTCTCAAGGCTGGCTCCATCATGAGGCAGACCATGAAAGATGAAGAGCTATATGGTTGGGGTTCAAGTGGAGGCTCTGCTGCTCACTAGCTGAAAAATTCATCCAGTTCCTTGTCCTCAGTGTCTCAGACTTATTATCAGAAAAGTGCCTCTGTTGTGGGTGGTTATAGCGCCACCTCAGAGAACGCGGGTGCGGGTGTGGATGCAGTTACCAAGGCAGTGCTGTAATGCTTTTTTTTTTTTTTTGGTTTTTCGAGACATGGTTTCTCTGTGGCTTTTGGAGCCTGTCCTGGAACTAGCTCTGTAGACCAGGCTGGTCTCGAACTTACAGATATCTGCCTGCCTCTGCCTCCCAAGTGCTGGGATTAAAGGCGTGCGCCACCATCGCCCGGCTTGAAAGAATTCTTAAGCAAAAACTAGATGCAGTGTTCCATGCCTATAATCCCAGAACTTGGGAGGCTGAGGCAGGAAGATGACTGAGTTCAAGGTCAGCCAGGGCTGCTTGTGAAATCCTGTCTCAAAAAAAAAAAAAAAAATCCCAAAGTAAAAAGTCAAAATGTTGACATTTTAATTCTGTAGTCAGTACTGCATGTCTGTTATGCCTTTGCACATTTTTGGTATATTTTGATTATTTCACAAGTTTATTTCAAAAAATGAATTGGGTGAGGAGGGAGCTGGAAGATGGCGTGGCAGCTAAGAGTACTTGCTACTCTTGCAGAGAATCTGAGTTTGGTTCCCAGCACCTACCTCACAACTACCTATAACACCAGCTCCAGGGGATCCAATACCTTCTCACTTCCACAGGCAAGCAGGCACACACTTGCGCATACAAGCACACACACAGAGCATAGACATGGCCAAACATGCATAGTTTTAAATCCTTTAAAAATGATTTGGGAGCTGAAAAAATGGCTCCGCTGTTGTGAGTACTAGCTGCTATTCCGGAGGTCCCAGGTTCAATTCTCAACAGACATAGGGTGGCTTACAGACCATCTGTAACCCCAGTTCTCCCATGGGCATTGTATACATGTAGTTTGCAGACATACAAACAGACAAAATACCCACACATGTTAAATTAATAAATTTAAAAGTTAAAAAGATGAACTGAGTAGTGGTGGCGCACGCCTTTAATCCAGCACTCGGGAGGCAGAGGCAGGCGGATCTCTGTGAGTTCGAGGCCAGCCTGGTCTACAGAGGGAGTTCTAGGACAGCTAGGGATACATAGAGAAACTCTTTCTCAAAATACCAAAATAATAATAATAAATTAGCTGCGCAGTGGTGGCGCACTCCTTTAATCCCAGTACTCAGGAGGCAGAGGCAAGCAAATCTCTGTGAGTTCAGGGCCAGCCAGAGAAACCATGTCTTTAAATACATACATACATACATACATACATAGATAAATAAATAAATAAATAAATAAATAAATAAATACTAATTGGGACTGAACACTGTAGGAGGAGGCCACCTGTTTGTCCCAGCCACCCAGAGCCAAAATAACCACCCAGAAACTGTATTATTTAAATCACTGCTTGGCCCATTAGCTCTAGCTTCTTATTGGCTGACTCTTACATCTTAATGGAACCCATCTCCACTAATCTGTGCATCACCACAAGGTCCTGGCCTACCAGCAAAGTGTCAGCACGTCTGTCTCCAATGGTGGCTCCATGGCTTCTTGCTAACTCTAACTTCTCTCTCCTAGAATTCAGCTTAGTTTTTCCCCACCTAGCTCTGTTCCCCTATAGCTCTGCTATAGGCCCAAATAAATACAGTTCCTGTATTTACCAATGGTAAGCACAGCACACAGAGGGGAATCCCACATCAGAACACAGGGCTCAGTGGTAAAGTGCTTCACTAACACGGAAAGGCCCTGGTGTCAGCCCTCAGCACTGGGTGGAAGGGAGAGGAGGGGACGCCTCTTAGTAGGGCTTGTATTAAGGGTGGTGTCAAGAGAGTACAGAACAGAGCAAGGATGAGGGGACAAAGATTAAGTTAGCTAAGGCAAGAGTGTGTTGGAAGCCAAGGTGATGGGCTAGAACTGGGACACTGGGGAGCCTTGAGGGACTGCAAGCCGGAAGAGCAGAGAGGAGACTAGGATGAGGGTAGGAAAAGGATGAGGCCAGAGCCTGGATGGAGGAAAGGAGATGAAGGGTAGACACAGGGCTCTGAGGCAGTATCGGGCAGCTGCAAAATGCCGCGTACCCAGAGTGTCACCCAAAGGGAACGGCATCTGGAAGGGGGCACTGAGTCCCACCGTGTCTGGTCTGGTTCACAGGTCTTCTCCCTGGTCATCTTTTCCTCTCTACTAATTGATGGTTACCAGAACAGGGCAGAGTCTCCTGAGCTCCACTGTGTCTTCAACCGCAATTATGTGGCCTGCGCCCTCGCAGTAAGAGCTGGCTTCCTGTCCTTCCTCAGCAGCTTGGTCTTCCTTGCCCTAGACGCCCATGAGAACCGCATCATAGAAAGCGGCTCTAAGACAGCCTTCCGGCTCTTAGACTTCATCCTGGCTGGTGAGTCCCAGGGGAGCATGCAGAGCACCCAGGCTCTCCAGTGCCTACAGGTCCCAGTCCTGGGTCCACCCTGCCTGTGCCTGATGGTCCTCCCACTGTGAGGGTCCGACTCCATGGCTCCTCGCAGAAGCATCTTCTAGTCCTTCCTTCCCATCCCCTTCTGGCCTCTGGCCCAAGCTGCTTCTTCCTCTCATTTCCCTCCCTGGCTCATTGAGCACAGCCTGGAAAGCCCACCCCATGGCGGCAATTTGATTCAGAGCACTGAGCCAGATGGACCCTCAATGAAAGTTAGGATGAGACTCTACCTTGCAGGGGTTTCTGGTGTAGAATGAGTTAAGGGGTGCCTAAAGTCATGTGGACACCTGCTGAGCACTTCCCACTGTTAGGCACACCATTAAGGTATGAGCCTCCTCTTCTCCAGTTCTAAGACAGCCCTTGGGGTGAGTCCTGCTCATCTTATTTTACAAGAAAAGCAGAGGCTGTGGTAGTCATCTGACTGAGCCACTGCTGCCCAGTGGATGGCAAGCCCTGTGCTCTATAGCCGTGCTGTAGATCTGTAGAGCTCGCACACATTTTATACCCAGGCCCTCAGATCCTCTTTACACTACCTCTCTTCCTCTCCCCAGAAGCCATTCCCAGCTCCTCAGAGCCAGAGACTGCTTCTGTCAGAGAAGCTCTTCACTGAGAAGGGGCTGTCCTCTCTCAAGGCCCCCAGCACATGAGATGTGGCTGTCCTCTATGAAGGCCCCCAGCACATGAGATGTGGCTGTCCTCTATGAAGGCCCCCAGCACATGAGATGTGGCTGTCCTCTATGAAGGCCCCCAGCACATGAGATGTGGCTGTCCTCTATGAAGGCCCCTGGCACATGAGATGTGGCTGTCCTCTCTCAAGACCCCCAGCACATGAGATGTGGCTAGCCTACAGGAAACTGGGCTTCTTTGAGACGCTGATGAAGTTGACACTAGATGTAGCTCCAGCTCTGTATTAGATGTGGGAACGCCACTCCAGAAGTTGACTTTTGGGGACACTTGAGGAATTTAGATTGGCACTGGTGGGGGGTGTCACTCCCCAAGCCCTCCCTAGCACACCTGGCCTGTGCCCCAGCATGCTTACCCACTTTCCTTCCCTCGCCCCTCCAGTCATCTGGGCAGGTGTCTGGTTTGGGGCCTTCTGCTTCCTAGCCAACCAGTGGCAGCAATCGGATTCCAAGCATTTCCTCACGGGGAACAGCAGCCCCAAGGCAGCCATTGCCTTTGCTTTCTTCTCCGTCCCTGTCTGGGTAAGGACAAGCCCTGGCACCCCTCCAGGGTGGGTTGGGAGGGCTACAACCAGGACTCTCCCCGGGCCTCTGCTGCCATCCTTCGAGCCTACCTTCCTCAGGCATCCCCATCTTGGGTACTGCTGCACAGTGAGCAGACAGCTATCCACTGCATCCCCTAGGCCAGCTCCTGGGTCTCCCTGTCTTCCCGTTCCATCCCAGCCAACTTAAATCCTACCCTTTCCTGCCCACAGATATTCCAGGCGTACCTGGCCTTCCAGGACCTCCGAAATGAGGCTCCGTTCCCCTACAAGCGCTCCCAGGATGAGGGTGCTGTGGTGCTGAACACCCTTTCTCCGTCATCCACCAGTAGTCCTGCCGACCCTCCCACCACAGGCCCCAACAGTGTGAGTTACAGCAGCTCAGCCCTGTCTCCCTACCTGACTACTCCAAAGGCCCCCCGCCTGGCTATGATGCCAGACAGCTGAACAGCCTTACCTACATCAGTAAAGAGCTCCTTCTCCTGAGGGGCTTCAGAATAATCCCGTCCTCTGTCTGTTCCTCTCATCCCTTGAGTTGCAGGGGGAGAAGGGGGACCCTCTGATAAAGGTTACATTTCTGTGCTACCAAGTACCAATCACGCTGCTGACCACAAGTCGGAAGTGTTGACAGGCGGGAAGCCCTGCCATGTCATCTGTACCCTGAGCCCACACTGGCCTTGAAGAGGAGGCACAAGGGCCTCATACTGCAGCTAAGGTTGAGGCTGAGAGAGAAAAAAGACCTTCTTCCCCTCAGAGCACCAGTGAGAAAGTGCAGCGCTGACCCAGCAGCTCACGCTCTACACCCCACATGACAAGATCCTCAACAGGGCGACTTGAGCCTGGAGGCAGTCAGGGCACCGAGTCTATGATGAGATTTAGATCTGTGTCTTCAAATCCATTGCATCTGGCCTGGGAAAGAGGCAAGTGTCTCTACTATACACCTCCAGGGTCAACAAGCTACAGACCTGTAGGAGGGAGCAGGCAGGTGGCACCTTGTGCCAGTGTCAGCCTTTCCCAGCCATGGGGCTGAGGACGCAGGCATTTGCTCAAAGCCACACTGAGAAAAGAAAAAGGAGGCAATTTTAATATATTTCATTTAACTTAATATATCCAATGTGTTACTGTTTCAACGTACAGTCGATCTGAAAATTGAGTTTTTCTTCTTTGTAAGTCATGGTTTGACTGTGTAGCTCAGGCTGACCTGAGCCTCAATACTGGGATTCTAGGCAAGCCCACCCTTCCAGCACTGAATGCTCCCGCCGCCTTTTACATTCGCTCTCACCATGAAACTCCACCCTGTGCCTCCACTCACAACAGCTCACTTGGCATCTCCACGCCAGGTGCTGGGTGGGCAACCTGCTGGCAGCCACTCTTGCCCCTCGTGCTGCTTTCTCTGAAACAGCTAGAGCATCTTTGTTGTTGTTATTTGGTTTGTTCTTCTATGTGGAATTGGTGGATAACAGACTTTTTCTTTAAAGTAGGATGCTAGAGCTGTACTCAGTTGTTGCACTTGCTCAGTGTGCACAGATCCCTGGATTCCTTTCATCTCTAAGCATCACAAAAACCAGATGTGAGAGAGAGGGATTGAGGCCAGCCTAGGATACATCATACACACACACACACACACACACACACACACACACACACACACACACACACAACCAAACCTGTACAAGGTTTGCATGAGGCTGGCATGACCTGCAGAGCATTCATTTGTAAACTGAACAAAGATGCAAGTTATGAGGTGAAATTTAAACTCCAGTATGTCCTTTGAGGGACCTGCTGTGTGTCGGGCACAAAAATCACACAGCCTAGTTCCCATGGAGAGGAAGAAAACAGCAGAGTGGCAGGAAGCACTCTGACCAGGGAGACAGGCCTTAGACTTCTGTGCTGTCAGAAGCTGGAAGGTCTCAACCCGTGTGCAAGGAGGCATCTCAGAGCTAAGCTGTCAGGGCCCCGCCCACCCTGCGCTGGTGTTGTCAGGCTCTGGGCAACACTCTTCTCACCAGAAGGCCCCACTAAAACACCACACAGAACACCAGGGCTCGGGGGAGAGAAGTCCAGGAACAAGCCCATCCTTGTCACTCATCCTCCTGGGCCTCACTCTTCTCATTTATGAAGTGTTCCTTCCTCGAGAGACATCCATGTGATATCAGGGTATAGCGAGCCCTCTGGAAAAGTTAGCTTCAGTCCCTGAAGCTTGTCCAAAGAACTGGAATTGGACACAACTAAGAACTGGGAAGTTCTCAAAGGGTAAATAGGGAGTTTAACTGAACCAAGGGTCAAAATCCAGATGCTAACTGGGGGCAGAGCTCAATGAAGGAGCACTTGCCTGGGAGGCATACATGACCCTGATTTGAGCCCCAGCACTGCAAGAGACAGACAAAAGTGACCCTGCCACTGAGGAGAGCCCACAAACAAGGGAAACAGCCAGGTGTGGAGCCCACCTCAAAGGAGGCCAGAAAGAATGTTTGCTTTTTTTTAGTTGTTTTTTGTTTTGTTTGGTTGTGTGTGTGTGTGTGTGTGTGTGTGTGTGTGTGTGTGTGTGTGAGAGAGAGAGAGAGAGAGAGAGAGAGAGAGACAGACAGACAGACAGACAGACAGGATTTCTCTGTGTAACAGCCCTGACTGTTCTGGAACTTTCTTTATAGACCAGGCTGGCCTTGAACTCACAGTGCCTGCCTCCCAAGTCCTGGGATTAAAGGCGTGCACTACCACACCCTGCTTTCATACGCCTTTTAATTCTTAAAAACACCTACAATGTTAGCCCGGTAATAAATGGTGACAGTCCATAGCCAACTTCTAGCACTGTGAAAAATGCAGGCATCTCATCTCCTCAGCTCCAGCTGTCTGCTGCCATCTAAAATGAGGGCCGCCACTGCTGAACCCACCGACTTCTTTTAAAGAGGCTAGAAATCCAGACCGGGATGTAAAGATCTGGTTTTTAAAAGCTTTTTTTTTCTTTCATTTTTATAACAGTATCAAAATGTCAGGGTTGGGGGATAGCTGGAGAGATGGCCCAGCAGTTAAGAGCCCTGGCTACTCTTACAGAGGACCTGATTTCAAGTCATAGCACCCACATGGTGGCTCGCAACTGTCTTAACTTCAGTTGCAGGGGACCTGATGCCTTCTTCTGGCCTCTGCAGATACCAGGCACACAAATATTACACAGACACACATGCAGGTAACACTCATACACATGAACCATGTTTTAAATGCTGAGAGAAGGATGAGGGCTGTACCGTCATGTGCAGGCCGTGCATGCTCTTCAAGGTCCTCTGTGGTAATCAGGTCACCAGGCAGTTTCTCTTATCAAAGGAAGAATAAGATTCTTCCAGCCTCTTCCCTGCAGAACCTCGAGGTATCAAGGTGCACTAGAGAGTCCTGGGGAACCCATTTCTCATCTTCCTGTGCCTTCAAGATCTCTGACCATCTCCAGACGGTCAATGTGCAAAAGTAGAAGCCAGGGCCCAGCACAAACCAAAGTGAGCAGGGAACAGCAGAGAGAAGGGCAGTTTTCCTCAGTTTATTTCAAGAGAACAAAGAATCAGCCATCAAATTCTGTACAAAAACATGGTGTTAGAGTATGGTGACCAACAGGCCAGTTAGCCTCCTTCCCTTGCCTAAGTCCAAAGCTTCCCCTAATTTAACAAAAACAGGACCCAACCCCCTACCCACACACACAAAAAGCTAACAAATTCTGGAAAAAATTATGAAAAATTAGGGAGACCCTCCTTAACTTTCTTCCTTCTTACTACCAATCCAGGGACTTGTGGGGAGGATCGTGGTCACAGCCAAGGTGGGCAGGCAGGCATTGGCAGACGTAGTGTTTGGCAACCATGGGGCTAGGGTGGGATCTTGGAGGGAGACAAGTGGCTTAGAGAAGGAAGTAGACCTCCACTGGCCCTGGTCCAGAGAACACTCAAAACACAGTTTATAAAAAATCAGGACCAGGGTAGAAGAGAAAAAAGTCATCAGAATCAAAAACTAAATAGTGGAAAGATTTGTTTTTTGTTTTTCTTCTCTAAAAGGCAAAAGGCTACAAACAGCTCAGGTCCTGAGCTCCCCAGGATAGGGGTCTTCCACTGACCCCAAAACCCAGCTGGAGGGGTGGGGAGCCAGGAGAGGCGAGCGCTTTAAAAAGCCAACTCTGGATGAGAAGGCCTTGGTCTTGAGCAGCCCTCTCTGCCTCCTGCCATGCCTGTGAAGGCTGGTGAGGCCAGGGCTATGCCGGTAAGCTCAGCTTCTTCCCCTTGAGGACTGTGGAGAAAGAGACATGGTGAGCCTTCCACCCCACAGAGGGGCAACCTCCCACCCTGAGCAAGGTCCGCTAGTGAGCTGTGCAAGGAGAGGGAACCCCCAGGACTCTGCATCCTAAACTACCAGGTTGAGTCTAGATCAACCAGGGGTTAGAACCAAGGGCTGAGCAGAGGGGGCATAGCAGGCTTTGTCTTCAGTAGTGCTGACTACACACATGGATCAGACAGCCTAGCAGGGTTGACAGGCAGGACTACCCCATCCAACCTTCCAAAAGCCTTAATTCTAGGGCCTGCCAACAACCTGATATCCAAGCTCTTGTCTCTACTGCCCCAGACTGTGTTTTTGTGATGCCTAGGCTGGCCTCAAACTCGACACAATCCTGCCTTGGCCTCCACAGCCGGGATTGCAAGCCTGGTCTTACTGCCTCTTTCTTTTACATGCTTATTCCTGGTCTTGAGGTGCCCACGGCCCTTCCATCCCAGCACACCAAGAACCCATGCACTCAGTGTTCCTCTCGTCACTAGGCAGTCTCCCTTTATGGGCCATCTTCCTCAGGAGGATCTAAGGGAGGAGAGCGCCTCGACTGCTTCTTCCTCCATGGCTGAGCCACGGACACTCAGCAAGTTTGTACAATGAGAATAATGAATTTCACCCTCAGAATCCCTGCTTTGCCGATCTCCACTTGTAGACATACAGCCTGGGAATCAGAATTCAGGCCCTGGGGAGGCGGGGTCTGGAATCTAAATAAGGGATGGTAGGCCTGGAACCCCAGAAGCTAGGAAAGGAAGCCCCATCCCCAGGTGATATTTGACTACAGAATGGCCCTGGGCCCAGGGAATACAGGACTGGGGACAGAGCAGATCTCTCAGCCAGCCCCGCATCCTGGTTACCTTTGGTGATGTAGAGGTAGAAGAAATCGCAGTAGAGGACTGTCTGGACCAGGCCAGCAACAATGGCGATGAGGTCAAAAAAGCCCTCAAAGTGGTAGCGCCAGATCCAGTTGAAGAGATAGAGCGTGCGGTAGACACCCAGTGCGAACAGGTAGTGGCTGGTGATGGTCTCCGCCTCACCCGTCTTGCTCACCATGAACAACTGCGGCAAGATGGCCACTGACTCCAGGTAGATGGAGAAAGTCCAGAGGATCTGCAGAGGCCAGGGTACAGACAGGGTGAGACAGCTGGTCAGCAGCGTCACGAGAGGAGCTCTCTGACCCGACCTAGCACTAAGATGAGCCCATCATTCTGTTCTCATCGTGTGTCCTAATGCCCCCTCATACCGAGAGGAACTGAAGCCTGAGAGGGAAGACCCCTGCCATGATCACAGAGCTCGAGCAGCAGAGCTGGGGACCTGGCTGGAGCTCGGCCATGAAAACTTGTCACCCTCATCTCCCGCGAGCAAAGGGCACCCAACTCCAACCCACCCCTGACCCCCACCTCTGCAATGGAGACCGTTCCTGCTCCCCTAAGGATGCCATTAAATATGTGACCTTCAATGACCTAAGTTACACTACATTGCTCTCTTGCTTAAAATCTTTTGGTAGCTTGTTACTGCTCAGAATAAAATCTAGACTCCTGACCTTACCCCTCAAGATCCTCCCGCTTGCCGAGGCCTCCCAACTTCAGCAGGCACCTCCTGAAAAAGGTCTACACTGGCCGCTCTTCCTTGTCTTTGGGATTGTTTATTTTTATTTGTTTTACTTAAAATTTAAAAAAAAAAATTATGGGGCTGGAACAATGGCTGAGCAGTTAAGAGTACTGGCTGTGTATCCAGAAGGCCTGGGTTTGATGGCACCTGGCAGCCCACAACTGTAACCGCTCAGGAGATGTAACACCTCCGGTTGGGGACTCCGTGCTTATTAGTGACACTTGATGTGGGATTCCCCTCTGTGTGCTGTGAATACCATTGGCTAATAAAGAAACTGCTTTGAGCCTATAACAGAGCAAGGCAGAACAGAGCTAGGCAGGGAAACTAAACTGAATGCTGGGAGAAAGAAGGCAGAGCCAGGGAGAAGCCATGGAGCTGCTGCCAGAGACAGACATGCCGAAACTTTGCCAGTAAGCCACAGCCACATGGCGATACACAGATTAATGGAGATGGGTTAGTTTAGGATATAAGAGTTAGCCAGAAATATGCTTAAGCTATTGCCCAAACAGTGTTGCAAATAATCTAGCTTCTGTGTGGTTATTTCGGGAGTCTGGGCAGCTGGGAACACATCCCGTCATAGCTCCTCTCTGTGCACCAGCACCAGCACGACTCCTGAACGAGGAGGAGATCGTCAACTGGAGTGTACAGCTACAAGGGCTGACCAGGTCATCACAGCTGTCTGAAAGTCCCACCTGGGACCATTAGCCACATACTGAAACCTCCCCTCAGAGAGCAAAGCCAAGTGGCAGCTGGGGCTTCTCCACAACTGTTTGGTTTGTAAGAAGGAAGTGAGAAATACCAGCATATGCTGGTAATAACCCAGGAGCCTCTCTCATACCGTGGACATTAACTGGCTGTAGCCCTAATATTTCAAGGTGAGTCCTGCTGCTATTCTCATTTGAACAAACTGAGGGCCCGGGCAGTGTACGCCAGCCCCTCTCCTTTACTACCCAGAATCCTCCAGGTGGCCCATTTAGCTGATGCGCATTGAGTTCTCCTCCCTGGGGTAGCCCTAGGGGAACTCAAGTACAGCACACAAAAGCAGGCCTACTGCAGTTTATCTGTTCTGTGACGGCTGAGTTAGTTTATATTTATATTTATTCTATTGTGTTAGTGGTTTTGTTATTTTCTCTCTCTCTCTCTCTCTCTCTCTCTCTCTCTCTCTCTCTCTCTGTGTGTGTGTGTGTGTGTGTGTAAGATGAGGGTGAGGGAGACTCATGCAGGCCAGGCTGGCTGTCCTTGAACCAAGATCCACCTGCTTCAGCTTCCAGAATGCTGGGATTAAAAGCATGAACCACCATGCCCAGCTAAGTTTTTTAAAATTTATGTGTATGCCTGTTTTGCCCACAGGTAAGTACGTGCACTATGTCCATGTGTAGTTCTCACAGAGGTCAGAAAAGGGTGTTAGGTCCCCTAGAACTTGAGTTAGAGGATTGGGATCAAACATGTATGTGTATTTAGAAACTGAACGACATTCTTCTGAAAATGCTCTTAACACTGGCCATCTCTCTCCAGTCCCCTGAATTTCTTTTTAAGATTTGTTTTTATTTTTATTTATATGTATGTCTACATGTCTATATAAGTGAATGCCATATATACAGTGGGTGCCTGTGGAGGCCAGAAAAAGGCATAGGACCCTGGAGCTATGTTTATAGGCAGCTGTGAGCTGTATGGTATGGATCAGGTCCTGGGAGTCAAATTCTGCAACATCAGGGAGTGCTCTAACTGCTGAGCTATCTCCAGCCCTAAGATCTAAACTTTATTTTGTTTTTTATTTTATCATTCATTCATTCATTCATTCACTCACTCATTTCTGAGGCGGAGTCTAACTATATGTTCTTAGCTGGCCTGGAACTCACTATGTAGACCAGGTTGGACTCACACTCACTGAGATCACTGCTTCTGCCTCCTGAGTACTGGAATTAAAGACATATAACACTGAACCCAGCCAGAGAACTGGAATTATTTTTTAAAGAGTATTTTCAGACTAGGTGTGGTGGTACAGGCTTGTAATCCCAGCACTTAGGAGGCTGAAACAGGAGTATTTTTTCAACTTATGGCCATTCTGGCCTACACACAGCAAAATCTAGTTTCAAAAAGTTATTTTTCAGCGGGGCAGTAGTGGTGCACACCTCTAATCCCACCACTCAGGTGGCAGAGGCAGGCAGATCTCTGTGAGTTCAAGGCCAGCCTGGTCTAGTAGTGAGTTCCATGACAGTCAAGGCTATACAAGGAACCCTGTCTCAAAAAAAAAAAAAAAAAAGAGTCATTTTTCATTCTCTGAGTGAAACATAACTTTTAGAGTACACCACTGACTAGCACAGATTCAGAAAACAATCACCCCTATGCCTACCCCACTTCAGTCAATCTCCCTGCCTGCAAAATGAGTCCAGTAACCCCAGCTTGACTGTGGCAGAGAATACATCAACATTCAGTCCCGGGCTCTCCCAGCACAACAGCCACCCTCCCCGTGGGCCAGGGTCGGCTTTAGCCTGCACATCGCTTTTAGAAACACAGTTTGCAAAGTGGCAATATCATAGCCAATGGGGTTTATCCAATGTTCAGTTATTGCTAATGGAAAACTTTGTCAACTGGGCGCACACCTTTAATCCCAGCACGTAAACTTGGGAGGCAGAGGCAGGCAGATCTCTGTGAGTTTGAGGCCAGCCTGGTCTATAAGAGCTAGATCCAGGACAGCTAGGGCTGTTACACAGAGAAACCCTGTCTAGAAAACAAACAAACAAAAAACCAAAAGGGGAAAAGAAAAGACTTTTCCCAGAACCCCACCATGACGGACTGAAATATAGCTGACATTGGTAATTTTAAAAGAAAAAAGAAATATATTTTGAATATGTGGCTAAAACTCTGAAGTTCATAACTTTTCTGAGTACCAAACTGCAGCTTCTGTTGAAAACCTCGGCATAACTGACACCCAGGGCCGGCTGCCTGTGAGACAGGTGCGCCGCAGAGAGAGAGTGCTTCAGTTGATGGTGCCCTCCAGCCCATGGGGCACGAGCTGCCAGCTTAGTACATGCCCTCCGAAAAGTCCTCTGAGGAGCATAATATACAGACCCAACCAAAGGGTAAATATCAAAACAGTCAACACCTCAAGGCAGAAGGTGTCACTCACGGCACCGGCCATCTCACACCAGACATCACTCTATACATTAACCTCCATACAGCTAAGAGGGCCGGGGTGCTCTGAGGGCACAGGCCCAGGCTCTATCCTGCACCCCAGAAAAGGATGCTGAGAAGTAGAGACTGACTTCTTCATTTTGTCTTCTTGGATGTGTATCCTTTTAGTTGTTAGCATCTAATGGCTGAGCCATCTCTGCAGCCCCCGATTTCCATTTTACAAAAAGCACAGGCATACATTTGCCCTCAGTCCCACCACTGTCCAGTTAAAGAGGCAAGCTTCCAATTCCTGTCTATCAACTCCAGAGCCTCTTTGTCTTCATACAACCAATTTGAAATCAGTAACTCTCACATGACCCATTTCACAGTAGGGAAACTGAGGCATAGAAAGACAAGTCACAGGCTGAATTCATTATAGTAGAAATAGGAGCTCCCAGTCAGGAGATGTAGCATAGCCCTATAATCCAGGCACTGAAGCAAGAGGACTGGGTTCCAGGCCAGCCTTTGAGCCACAGTAAGCTGCTATCTCAAAAGACCAATGGCTGGTATTGTGGTTCAAAGGCAATGCACTGGCCTAGCACGCACAAGGCCCCAGACTTTATCTCCAACACTTCTTGGGGGGAAAAAATAAAAAAATAAGACGTAGATCTGGGATTCAAGTTCAAGGAGCTTCACTCTAGAGTCCTGCTCCCCATTCCTACTGAACTGGGTATCCTTGGGCGTTCAGATGACGGAAGGATCAGTTTCCTTGTCTAACCATGGGGTGCCACTCCATATGAACTTAGCCTGCCGCTGTATGTTAACCACACAGAGCCGCACAGGGCATTACCTGCCTCTGAACCTAGGCTGAGCATGGGGCTCCTGCAGAGGGAAACAGCAGAGAGGGTCTGCTGTCAGCTGCCCCTTCAACCGACCACCGCGGTCCCCGCTGAAACCTACCTCCAGAGGGGTGAAGTCATGGTTGACCAGGAATGCCAGAATGGCTGTGGGAACAACGAGGAACTCCACGCGGAAAGTGTCGTGGTTCCCGTCGTAAGTAGCTTTGAACTTGCTGTAGATCATCCACACCGTGGTAAAGGAACAAGCTATGTAGACCACCTGATGAGAGAGGGTGACTACAGTGGGGCCTCCCACTACAGTGGGGCCTCCATCCAGTTCCCAGCCTACCTCCCTCAAACCAGAGGTCCAGACCCCACCCAGCCCCTTTCCTTCATGCCCAAATGTCTAGACATCAGTCTTCCATGCTTAGACCCAAGAGTAGATAATGAGTCCCTCCTCCCTCAGACCCAGATGTCCAGACCCCAGCCCTCCTCCCTCAGACCAGAGCTCCAGGCCCAAGCCTCTTTGCTGCTCCCTCTCTGACCCCTGGCCTGGAACCCTGCCACAGGGGGCGCTGACTGCAGGTCTACCTTCATGCAGGTGTTGTAGAGTGAAATGTAGTTGGTGAACAGGTCCAGGTATCGGGCAGTAAACACCACAGCAAACAGGACCTGGCTCTTCCCTGAAATGCCTGGTTGAGACAGAGAACAAGGGGAGGGTACGGGGAGCTGAGGTGGGCTACTTGGACAATCAACTGAAGTGCAGGGCCTGGGCCGACCGGCCCGGAGCTGTCGCTCCCCAAAGGCCTTGAAGCCTGAGCACGGCCCTTTCCCACCATCCACAGCCAGGGGGCAGCCGGCCCCAATAATACTACAGACCGAGGCTCCGTCCCAGGCTAGGCCTCGCTGGAACCCTTGTCTCCTTCAGGGTCCCCTGATAGTCTGGACCGACGTTGGGACCTAGGGAGAGTCCTGCCTGACTTCAACCTCTCAGCCAGTCACCTTCCTCCCGCTCCCTTCCTGGCCTTTACAGTCCACGTCACCAACTCCCAGCCACCTCCCCGCCTGCCATGGCTCCTGGTTCCCGGCCCCGGAACACCCATAGCTGTCCCAAAGGGTGCTGCAGAAGGTTGAGCTGAGCACCCGAAACCACCCCCACCAAACTCTGTGCACCCCTTAGTCTAAGGAAAGAAGCTGACCCCCTAGTGACCCTAGATCTAGAAGGATACCCAGCAGGCAGTCCGGGAGGACTCTGTCCTGCCGAGCTTCTGCCTTCCCGGTGCCCCGGGGCGGCCCGCTCCCGCCCCCTCTCCGCGGGGCGGGGGCTCTCACCCGCACACGATCGGGACTTCCAGATTTTGAGCAGTAACAAGATGATGGCTAGGAGGTGGGAGAGGTCTCCCAGGAATCGGAAGAGGTTCATGACTGGGGAGCTCGGGCAGGACTGAGCTGGGGGAAGGTTGGCCAACCGAGCTGCCCCGGAGCTGCGGTGCTGCTGGGCTGAGGGCGGGAGAGGAGCCCTTCGGTAGCTCAGCTCCGGGGAGGGGGCTCTGGGAGGTGAGCGGAGGACGGAGCTGGTGGCAGAGCTGGCAGGGAGAAAAGGGAGGAGGGCCAAGGGTGGAAAGGGAGGAGTCTGGGCTGGAGCTCCACCCCGAGGGCGGGTTGGCTCTCTGGCACCCCCTGTCGCACGCCACCTGCCTTGCAGAGTCGTGCCGAATAAACTGTCCTCTGCCTTCTACTAATCTAGAATCCCACACTCCCCGCCCTTAGCAGCGCTTGAGTTCTGAACGCTAAAGATCCTGGAGCTGCCAAGGGTGATGGTGCAACCCGAAATCTTAGCACTGAGAAGATGAAGCAGAGCGATCCACAGTTACAGGCCCAGGGCTCCATAATGACAATCCATCCCCCCCACAAATTATTAATACTACTAATAGTAATGACAACAACAACAACAATAATCCTGGAGATTAAGAGGGTAGATTTCTGGCTTTCTTGGTGTTCTCTAGGTCCAATTCAGTGAGAAGAGCCAGGCCCTCCTGCCACACCCAGCCTACTGCCTCTACAATCCCTTTCTTGGCAATCCCTGTATTACTCAACATTCTAACCTACAGTCACAATCCCGTTCTCCTTCAAGACTCAAACGCCAGGGCCTGGCTCGTTCAGAAGCAGTCCGCATCACCCATGTCCTCCCAGATCTTAGGACACAAGAAGCAGGAAGTCTGATAAGTTAACAGGCCTTGGTCCCAGCGTCCACACACCCCCTCTTCCCTCACCCCCAGCATCCATCCTCAGGGGTCCAGGAGTGCTGAAGCACACTCCTTCCAGTATAACAGAACCTAAGGACTGCCCTCCCAGAGGCAGGATGGAAGCTCAAAGGTAGGGCTATGAGGAGGGCTGTGTCTGTGGCAGAGCGGGACTGAGCTCTCATGGCTGTGAGAGACCATCTGGTCCTTCAGTGAAGGACTTGCTCAGAATCTGGACCCTAGCACGAGGGAGAAGGACGAGGGCCCGGACCTGCCATCTGAGGAAGGGGGCTGGTATCTGGAATCCTAGTTCTGAAAGAAAGGGCCAGGCAGTGGACCCCCCAAGTTTGATAGAGGAGAGCCAAGGGTTGAAATTCTGGGAGGGTCTGGACCCCTGGGTCCGAGGGAGGATGGCTAGGATTTAAATCCCTGGGTCACAGGAAAGAGTGCTGGGGTCGGAGAGAGGAAGGAACTGGGAACCCAACGCCCTAGGAAGAGGGCTGTAGGCTGAGGTGGGAGGACTGGGATCCGACCCCAGTTTGGGGCGGGGGAGACTAGGCTCCTGTCTGCTGGGTCTAAGGGAGGTGAGCTAGCATTTGGACATCTGATTCCAAGGGATAAGGGACTTGGGAGTCTAGAGTACTGGCTCCATGACAGACATCCAGTTTGCTTGCATCTTGCCTCTGGGGCCATAGAACTCACGGGATGAGTCTTAGCATGGCGGATGTTGAAGTCCAGAAGAGGGAGGGGCAATTTCAGGAACCCCCAGTGCTCTGTCTAGGTCCCAAACTGTCTGTTCCAGGCAATGTCCTTGTCCACCCACCTCTGCTTCCTCCCATTTCAACACAGCCCCTCAGTCCCATGTCCCATGAGGAAAACAGAGGCTTTGAAATAGGGTAAGGAGTGGCCCCCTCCCTCAGTCCTAACAGGAGGAGGGGTCCCTAGGGAAGCCGGGGGGGGGGCTGTGGGTCTCCTGGCAGGAAGGAACGGGGACTGAATGTTAATCGCATCCTGAGTGAGTGTGCGAGAACACAGCGAGTGTGTGATTCCCTCACGCTCTGGCTCCTGCAAGCCGTGGCTGCTGCTGCTGCCGCTACCACCTTCCGCCAGCGCCCGCAGCCTCCTCGGCCACCAGCGCCCTGTTGAGGGGTGTCAGCCTGGGTGGGTCCGCCTGGCCCCCAGGGGTCTCTCGTGCTACAGCCATCTGCTAGGTGAGGATGTGTGTCTTGGTGTCAGGCTGGCTGGTGGGGGGGGTGTGTCTGTAAGGGCTGCGGCGGCTGGTAGCTGAGGGAGGAGGGGTCTGTCTGTCTGGACCGACCCTGAGCCTCCTGTCTGCACCTCATGACCCCCCCAATCTGTTCCCTGAGCCCCCAAACCTGGATGGATGGTGTGCACCTGGGTTCTGTGCCTTCTGCCTGCATCCAGCCGAGTGTCTGTGTGTCCCTGGATGCCTGTGTCCTCCTGTCTGTCCAAACAGCCACTGAGAGCAGTGACAACGCGCCTCTGTTGGGGCCCTGCGCAAGCGTGTGTGTGTGTGTGTGTGTGTGTGTGTGTCTCCCTCATCAAGCTCCGGGGGTGTTGAGGGGGAATCCCAGGGAAGTGAGATTGTGTGTGTGTGTGTGTGTGTGTGTGTGTATGCATGTGTGTTTCTGCCTGTGCTTGAGAGGGGGGGGCACGTGGGGGGGGGCGTCTAGAGGTGGCCAAGCAAGGAACGGGCAAGCAGTTCCTCTCTGATAGGCAGCCTCACGCTCCTTATACAAACATACACGAGCCACTGGCTTCAGAGGTGACCCAGACAGACAGACAGAGACAAGAGAGTCGGTGCTGAGAGCACAAAGGGGATGCCAATAAGCTAGGGAGAGGTGATGGGACATGCCAGCCAGAGGAGGAGCCTGGACTAAAGCCGGCAGAGGGGGGCACCCCAGGTGGGCGGAAGGGGATCCCCATGGGGTCAGGCCGCAAGAGGACACCCCAACAGCCTCTGCAATGTCCGGGGCCCAACTTCCAGCGCAACATGTGTAGCCTCATCCTTGTCTAGTCTGGTGGCCGCAACCTTGGGGGACAGGGCAGGGCAGGATCAAGAAGAGGAGGGACAGAGCCGGGACAGGCAAAAGGTCCCCGCCACTGCCTGCGCTGCTGCTGCTGTTGCTGCTGCTGCTGCTGCTGCTGCTGCTACCTCGCTGCCGCCCTCGGCCTGGCCCCCAACCAGCTCCCCAACACTCCACGGAATCTTTGGGTCTCTGGATACCGGTTCCGGTCCTGGCCCCCCAGCAACTCCCCCCACAGAACAGGGTCATGAAAAGGTAAGGCTGGGCAGGGGATGAAGGGGTGGGGGTGGGGATATGGCCCCCTCCAATCTAGGGCAGGGAAAGTTGGCTGGGGACCTCAAGGAGGGAAGGGGTTTGAATGTGAGAAAACCAAACGTCTCTGCCCCCTTATCCCTCAGGGACTATCTTCCATCTGCTCGCGCGCGCACTCTCTCTGCCCCTTTCCTAGGTTTCTACACCTCAAAACCACCCCAGGCCTCTATTCCCCTGCACTTCACCCTGTCCCCGGCAGTGCAGAACTGAATCCCACCTCTGTCGATCTCTGCACCTCACCTTCTCCCTTCTCTACACCCCTTTCCTGCATCAGTCTCCCCATAGCTAGCTATCCCTCTCTCCTTTCGCTCTCCCCTCCCATCTCAGAGCTATGAGTCTGCTATTAATACCCCCGCCAAGGACCTTGAGGGCGTCCAGTGCCCTGCATCCAGCCCCGAGCAGCCACCCCTTCCTCGAGGTTCTGGAATGCCCTTCCAGGACTGGGGTGGGAGACATTGGTTTGTGTGTGCATGAAGTGGGGGACAGGAAATCTCTCTGCAGCACAAGGAGGGGAAGCTGCTGACCACAGCCTCCCCCATTCCCATAATGGTTTAGGGGGGCAATGGAGGCAGAGACCTCCTTCCTCCTTACGCTCTGGACAAGATATGAAAGGAACAACTGGGGAGGCCAGACCTAGTGGGCAGCAAGGATGTTGGGACTGATGGGGTCTGAGCAAAAAAGGGGGGGCTCCTTAAAGGAGAACAAGACAGAAACCAAGATTTCCAGTTGTTGGGGTGGGAAGCGGCCAGGATGTCCGGGTCCTGCGGAAGAAATGAGTGGACCACTGTGCTGGGTGCGGAGGGGGTGCCTGCCAGGCCAAGTCTTCAGTCGGGAATTTAGGGAGGACACCATGAGAGAAAGGAGGGCCAGAACTCCTGACAGAGCAGGCTGGGGAAACCACTGCTTAGGCCACTGTGGGGACCAAGTAGATGGCTAAACTCATGAGGTGGAGGGCGAGATGGACTTTGCCAACCCTGTTCTGAGCTCTGGGGACTGATACTGGGGTGAGATGGCTGGGCAGAAAGGTTGCCCTCAGGAATCCTCCCTTTATGGGAGACAATGCCTCCTGATGGGGTGGGGTTGAGACTGCCCTCCTAGGCCTCACAGTAACAAGAACCTCAGACCCCAAAACTGCAGAGGCCAGGGTCTGAGATGCAAAGGAGGGGGCTGATGGCTGAGCAGCTACCAGGAAGGGAGAGGAGAGCCAGTATTAACCCCGCAGGGGCCAGGCCACAGCTGTGCGTTATTTTGGGGAAAAAGGGGGGGCTATTCTGAGCACGGATTGAGCCAGCTGCTAGGGGAAGGAAAGGCAGTGGAGAGGAGGGACGGGAGGAGGCATGGCCTGCAGGAGGGGGCACCCCCTTCCCTGGGGAGACAGAGGCTCAGGCCCTCCAGAAAGGTGGGATGGCAATTTGGAGGATGAGGTTTCCAGGCAGGGTAGGGGGTGTGGGCCTCTGCCCCAACCCTTGCTGTCTAGAATGGACAAGCCTGTGCTACCATGGCAACAAGACAGGAAACTGACAGCCAAGAGAGAACCCTTCTGTATCTGGACCCTGACCCGTTCAGAAAACCCCCAGTGCAGGCCCTTAGTGCTTTCTGGGAGCAGAGATCAGGCCCCCATGCCGCCTCCATAGATCTAGTATCCAGGAGCCTGGGATCCTAGCCCACCCACCCCAGGCAACTAGTATTCAACAGGGGGCACTGGAGGCAACACTTCCTTTAATTTACTAAATTGCTCTGGGCTGGAAGCCAGGAAGCCCCCCCCCCCAGCAGTGCTCCACAGCTGTGCCCCCAACCCCAAGACTGGCTTGTCATTCAGTTTCATCAAGAACGAAAATGAGGGGGCAGGGACAGGAGGAGGGGGCTAAGAATGGCTTGGGGTGGTGGGTATTTCCTCTCCTTGGATACCCCACTAATTTCTCCCCCCTTTCTCTCCCTGCACACCTGACCCCCTTTTCCTCTCTCATTTCCCCCTTTACTCTCTTCCCTTTATTCTCTTTCCCTCTGCAACCTGGCTCTGCCTTGCTTTCATGTCTGTGCTGGGCATCTCCCGGGTGGGGGTCTGGGTCTCTGCCTTGCCTCGCTATTTCTGTCTTCTCTGTATTTCATTTGCTCTGCCTGCCTTCCTCCATCTCCGTTCCTTCTTCCTGAGGTTGGTGTTTGCCTGACTCTGGGTGGCCGTGGGTTCCTGCCTTCTATACCCCCAACTTTCTCATCTATCTCTCCGTCTCTCCTTGCCTGGCTACCATCCTCTCGCTGGGTCCTTCTCTTGGGTCTTTGTCCATTTGAGCCTCTCCTTCCATTCCTCCCTGATCATATCTAACTGTCCCTTCTCCTTCCATTTCTCCCTGACCATATCTAACTGTCCCCTCTCCTTTGCCCTCACTCTGGTTCTGCTGGTGGTTTTTGTCCCGTCTCTGGGTCTCTTTCCCATCTGTATGATCACTGTCCATCCCATCCCTGCCTTCTCCCCTCTTCTTACCTCTGCATCTTCCCTGACCCCATTACTCACCCCCTCCCGCCTTTGTGTCTCCTGGTTCCCACACTCCATTCCTCCATCTCACCCCCCACCCCTCCCTCTGCTTGGATTCCATCTTTCTCTTCCACTCCCCGCTGTCTCTTCTTGTCTCTGGACTGTGTCTATCTCTCTTCTGCCCCTTTCTCTCTCTCTTCATCTGTTTCTCTCTTGCTTCTGCCTCTCCGTCCCTCACCTAACTTTCTCCTCTCACCCTGACTCTGCGTCTTCCCTCACTATCTGGGTCCCACTGCCACCTTCCCCATCTCCGTTTCTCTATCTCTGTCTCCTCCCGCCGTCTCGGTCTCCCCTCATCTCTGTCCCTCATCCCTGCTTCTCTCCGTGTCTGCCCCTCCCTCTTCTCCATCACCCACCCTTCCCCTCTCGCCCCGTCTCTCCTGTGCCTCCCCTCGGGCTCTGCCCTCGCCTCCCGTCCGCGCAGAGGCCGCCCGGCGGGGCCCGCAGGCGATGCGCGGCGCCGGTGGCCCCCGCGGCCCTCGGGGCCCCGCTAAGATGCTGCTGCTGCTGGCGCTGGCGTGCGCCAGCCCGTTCCCGGAGGAGGCGCCGGGGCCGGGCGCGGCCGGCGGGGGCACGGGCGGGGCGCGGCCGCTCAACGTGGCGCTGGTCTTCTCCGGCCCCGCGTACGCGGCCGAGGCGGCGCGCCTGGGCCCGGCCGTGGCGGCGGCAGTTCGCAGCCCGGGCCTGGACGTGCGGCCAGTGGCGCTGGTGCTCAACGGCTCGGACCCTCGCAGCCTTGTGCTGCAGCTCTGCGACCTGCTGTCGGGGCTGCGCGTGCACGGCGTGGTGTTCGAGGACGACTCGCGCGCGCCCGCCGTCGCGCCCATTCTCGACTTCCTGTCGGCGCAGACTTCGCTGCCCATCGTGGCCGTGCACGGCGGCGCCGCGCTCGTGCTCACGCCCAAGGTGCGCGCGACCGCGGGGGTGGGGCGGGGCCTTGCGGCTGGGGGCGGGGCCGGGCATAGTCTCGTTTGAGTTGGGGTGGGGACGTCCGTCGAGTCGCAGTGCCTAGGGGAAGCTGAAGGGCAAGACTCTGAGAGGCAGGCTTTGAAAGGCGGGACCTATGATAGCTTGAGAGCCGATTTCATCCAGGTTTGGGGGGCTTATAAGGGCGGAGACAGCCACTGGGGGCGGGGTCGTCCTTTGGTCAGTTTCCACGTTGGTGGTAAGAGTCAAGTCTAGCAATCTAACTTGGAGGGGTGTGTTTTATAGTGTTCACGGACCTTCCAGAGATCACTTACAAGGGTCAGATAAACAGGGAGGAGGTGGGTAACAAGTGAAAACTGGGAAAGAACCAATGGTAGAAGTATAGATAGATTTTAGTAAGGGGCGACAGGGGCAGAGACTATTATGGGTCTTGGACAAATAAGAGAAAGAGTCGGTTGGAAAGGAATGAGGTTCAGAAAGAGGTAGAGTCTGGTGAGGAAGTGGTGTTCAGGAAGGCAGGGACAGGGACCATAGGGAAAGAGAATCGGGTCCTGAGGAGAGCGTGGTGGATGGCTCAGCCGAAGCGTGGCGCCTAGAAACGAGAGCGGAGCCATTCCTTCTGAGAAGTGGGGTTCATGAAGAGCAGACTAGCTCAAGGAAGGAGAGAGGGATCCAGTGGAGAGGGCTGAGGCTAGACCCCGTCCAAGCAGTGTAATGAAAGGAGTTTGCCAAGAAAGGAAGTAGGCCTTTGGAGTGGGCTTTGAGAAGGAGCATGTCAAACTGTAAAAGTGTGGAAATGAGGATCCTGAACTGGACGCAGGAAGGAACGAGCCAGCCCAGGCAGTGGGAAGCCAGACACAGACACCTGAAGTGAAGTGGGGAGACGCCTGGGGACAGTGGGTTGTACTGGGCATTTGGTACCAAAGAAGAGACTTGGACTAGCCTAGTTTGCAGACTGAGAAAGATGAAGCCTGTGGGGAGACGCCTGGGGACAGTGGGTTGTACTGGGCATTTGGTACCAAAGAAGAGACTTGGACTAGCCTAGTTTGCAGACTGAGAAAGATGAAGCCTGTGGGGAGACGCCTGGGGACAGTGGGTTGTACTGGGCATTTGGTACCAAAGAAGAGACTTGGACTAGCCTAGTTTGCAGACTGAGAAAGATGAAGCCTAAGAAGGGAGGTACTGGAGGTGAGCAAGTGAAACAGAGAAGTGGGATTGGCTGGAGGACAGAGCCACCTGAGTGGGTGGGGCCTAAATGAGCCAGTTCCCTGCTAGAAAGGCCAGTGGCAGTGTACCCGGTCACTGTGGCATCCCAGGACTCGAAGGTCTGTCCAAAACATTGTGGGAAAGGCCTCTGTCCAACATCCTTGTTCTTGGCTTGATTTGTAGGCCTGGCTGCTGCCTCCATGGAACACTGACACACATGGTCCCTTGTGCCTCCGTTGCTGCTGAGTGTGACCCACTGAACACAGTATCCACTCTGTGTGCAGTGCAGCCTGTCACCTTGAGGGATGCTTAGAGTTCCCTCACTGTCCGTGGGTGGGAGAAGGTGTCCCCCTCATTACTCCAGCTATGCTACAATGCATGCCAGCACCTAGGCCCTGCTAAGGGATGAGGGGCTCTGTGGGTCTCCACTGCACGCTGGGAAGCCCCCTCTTCTCAGGCCAGCTTTCTTGTACCCAGCATCAAGCCAGTGGTATATGCCAAAGGAGAAATCTGATGGCTCTTTGCCCCCGGTTGCAGGAAGGCTTGTGAGGCCTGGGGCCTGCTTAGGTTCAGGATTATAAAGTTGAGTTGAGGGAGGTTGGGCCATATGGAATTTACGCTCTAATGAAGAAAACAAACGAAGCCACCAATAGTGAAATCTGCCCTGGGGGAACCGTTAATGACTGAGGCTAAGGCTCCAATGGATGGTAATCAAGAGAGGCCTCCTGAGGAGGTGGTGTCTGTGCTGGCCCTGAAGGATGATGAGAGGTCGCTAGGCTTGGAAGAACCTGGGAATGTGTCCCCAGGAGGGACAACTGCTAAGGGCGAAGCTTGGAAGAAGCATTGTGTGTGAGAGAAAGACCTAGGCAGAGTGGCTGGAGCCAGCAGAGAGCTGGGAAGGCAGAAGACAAGCTCAGACAGACCTTGTGCTTGGGCCACAGCGGGTACTTTATTTGGTTTTGATTCTAAAGTAGAATTCTTGGAAGGTTTTCAATTGAGAAGTGATGTATTCCATTTAATATTCCGAAATGATCACTTTGGTTCTGCTTGGAGAACAAACTAAAAGACATGAGAATGGACGCAGCAGTGTATCAGAGAGCTGCAGATGTCTGGGCAAGAGCACCGTGGTGCGGTGGTACTGAGGAGAGGAGGGGACAGAAGAGCGGGAGTTCAGAGTCGGTTCTGTTCTAGATGTGATGCTATGTGAGATCCTAGAGGGAAGGAGAGAGGGTTCTGGGTTTGGGGGTGCTGGAAAGAGTCAAGACACCTGCTTTTGACAGGCAGGTTCTCGAGACACGTGTGGAAACCCTGGTTTGCAGAAGGTGACTAGAAAGTGGGATAGGTTTGTCTGAAGCTCACAAGAACGGCTGTGACCAAAGATGGGGCCCTGGGCACGCGGCTGAGCTCCCTGCAGCAAGGAAGCCGGACTGTGACTGCTCCATCCAGCAGCAGCTGCAGAGCCACAGGTGGCCGACGAGCACTGGCATGGTGCAGCTGAGGAACTACAGTTGTTTTTTCAGTTTAATTTGAATAGCTACACGTTGCGAGTGGCTACAACACTGGAAAGTGCTAGAGACGATATTTAAAGCCATGGTGTTAATGGCCTTGCTAGGGAGCGTGGACAGAAAAGGAAAGGAACACCAGAAAGACCCCTTACATTGTTTAGGGTTCTGATTCAGGAACAGAGGCCAAAAAGGGAGACAGAAATGGGGGCTAAGAGGGCAGGAGGGAAATGAAAGGGTCAGTCTATTCCACTTGAAAGAAAGAGTACCCTTCAGCATCCTCACTGCATGATGGGAATTGTAGTTCTGCTCTTTGCAAATTAGGCTAGAGTGCCTCAGGGGATACTGGGAAGATGTGGGGTGAATTCATGGTAGTAATATCATGTACTGCCACAGATAAACCCACAAACCTCAGCAGCTCACCCCAGTAGGTTGTTTCTCGCTCATACAAACTCCAAATGGGGCATCCTGACTGGAGGTATCCATCCCTCCTGTGATTACGAGACCCTAGGCCTTCAGAGTTTTCCTCCGAGTCTCTACAGCTGCCCTCAGACAGGAGAGTAAGGTTCAGGGTGAGATTTTTTAAGGTGGGTCTGGAAGAACTGTTATGTGGTTAAACATAACCCAGATGAAGCCAGTGCTACAGAAGGAAAAGGAGCCAGGCCTGGTAAGCAGCCATGGCAGAAGCTGTGGTGCCACTGGCTCAGGCAACTGTGGTCTGCTCACTGGTCCTCCCTGTCCCCGCAGGAGAAGGGCTCCACCTTCCTGCAGCTCGGCTCCTCTACAGAGCAGCAGCTGCAGGTCATTTTTGAGGTGCTGGAGGAGTACGACTGGACATCCTTTGTGGCAGTAACCACGCGTGCCCCAGGCCATCGGGCCTTCTTGTCATACATCGAGGTGCTGACTGATGGCAGCATGGTAGGCTGGGAGCATCGAGGAGCGCTGACACTGGACCCCGGGGCTGGTGAAGCCGTCCTGGGCGCACAGCTCCGGAGTGTCAGCGCGCAGATCCGCCTGCTCTTCTGTGCCCGCGAGGAGGCAGAGCCTGTTTTCCGGGCAGCAGAAGAGGCTGGCCTCACTGGGCCTGGCTACGTCTGGTTCATGGTGGGACCTCAGCTGGCTGGAGGCGGGGGCTCCGGGCTCCCTGGGGAACCCCTTCTTCTGCCAGGAGGTGCCCCACTGCCTGCGGGGCTATTTGCAGTGCGCTCTGCTGGCTGGCGTGACGACTTGGCACGTCGAGTGGCTGCTGGTGTGGCGGTGGTGGCCAGAGGTGCCCAAGCCCTGCTGCGAGACTATGGCTTCCTGCCTGAACTGGGTCATGACTGCCGCGCCCAGAATCGCACCCACCGTGGGGAGAGTCTGCACAGGTGATTAGGGATTGTTTGGAGCACCCAGTAATGAGTGGCCCGGGTTAGAGCTCATCCCGGCTCTCACTTGCTTTTCTGTGGAAATTTGAATGATCTTTCTGGGGGTGATTTGGGAAGCACCTGGTTTACAAAGGGTTTGTTTCCATTATTTCATGATTTTAAGGCTGGGCATGGTGGTAAAAGACTGAAATCCCAGGCACTTCAGGAGTGGAGGCAGGAGACGCAGTGGTTCTGCGTCATCCTTGTCTGCGCTTCAGCCTGGGCTGCATGAAACACTGTCTGGAAACAAAACTGTGGGATTTTAGTTCAGTGTGGCAGTACAGACTTGCCGTCCCAGCACTCTGAAGACGGGGGCAAGAAATAAGCCTAAAATATCTAAAACAGAAATACCCATTTTCTTTTATATTTTAATGTTTTTGCCAAAATGTGTCTTATTATTATAATTCAATCATTTTGAATTGGCACTGGGCTTGTTTGTTTTGTAAGTAAAAACAGTGACAATTGATAGCACCTTAAACTGGATAACGCCCCCCCCCACTATGAGCTGAGTCTCAGTAACAAAAAGACCCAATGGTCTAGTTACCTGTGCAAGGCAGACATTTTTCTCTGTCTTGTAACATCCGAGAGATGAGTGCCCGGCAGTCCTGTTGTCAGGAGACAGGCTCCATGTGGTAATTCTGTTTTTCTACTCTTTGCACAGTACAAGTTGGGTTGTAGGCATGGCAGAATGAGCCTTGTCCAGAGAAGGAGGAAGGATATAGCAAAGAGCCAGCAACTTGTAGTGATAGAGAGGGCATAGGTCTCACATCTTATTACTGAAAACAATGACATACTGATTGTTCAAGGCATAGCCATTCTGCGTAAACATCCCTGCTGATTGACTAGACTCCCATTCTGATGGGCTGGTGCTAACAGTTAGATATTTTAATGGCACCCCCGCATGTGGCTGCAAAGTGCTGGGTGTGTCCACCAATACTGTGGCTGTGGGTCCAGCTTACACCTTATGACGTTCAAAAAAAAACTGGGTGCGACAGAAGGAAGACCATTAATCCGGAGCCCGGTTGAGTCTGGGAGGAGGTGGTGGGTGCAGAAGAGGACCTAAGGGAGGAGAATGGCCAGCTGGGTTGGGAATCAGGACCCCAGAACAAGAGGGTAAGAGAAGGATCCTGTGATCGTAAACACCGAGCGCCTGCTAGGAACCAGGGCTCATGCTGGGCCCTGGGAACACAGGGATGAATAAGACCACAGACTTCTTCAAAGACTGCATGACCTAAAGAGCTGACATACAGGGATGGGAATAATGGCCACACAGTGTGAGGCTGGCGGTAATGGAGACAGCAGCAGCCTTAGGGGACGTGGGGGAGGAATCCTGCCCAACCAGGACATTTTTGGTTGCAAAAAGCAGTCTCGTTTAAATTTCCCCAGGAGAAAGCGGGTTCATTGGAAAGATAAACATGCACTGAGCAGACTTCAGGAATCGAGGCCAAGTCCGGGCCAGCCTCTCTTTCATCTCCTGACTTTGTCTTTCTGATTCTGCACACACACACATACACACAGGCTTACCTTTCCCAGCCTCTGTTCAGATCTTAATCCATAGTTTCTCCTTCCTCATAACTTTAGAACCTACAAGGCTCGCTGTAGACCAGCGAGACACCCAAGAGAAAAGTGGTTAGTGACAATCAGTTTACAGGCCACGCAGCTGTGGGGTAAGCTACAGTGTCAGGGGGGTTTCCTGGAAGAAAGAATTCTAGACTAAGACCTAGGGATGAACGACCAGCCAAACACCCATCCACTGGGAAACCCCTACTGAGAGTCTATGTGACGAGCACCGCTTTGACACAAAAGAACCAAAGTTGGGTGTGGTGGTTTACTCCTTTAATCCCAGCACTCAGCAGAGCCCAGAGCTCAAGACTGGCGTGGTCTCGGTAGTGAGGTCCAGGCCAGCCAAAGATATGGACATCTACATCTACATATGTATGAGCAGCATATAGAGAGATGGACAGACAGACAGTCAGACCCTGGCTCACAGAACTGCTGAAACAATCCCCTGCTTTCACAGAGCGACAGTCTGAGGAGGGCGAGTGAGGGAAGGGTGCCAAGTAGAGAACAGGCAAGGAAAGAGAGAGCTGCCCTCAGGTGGCAGCCTCTGAGATGAGGTAAAAGGTCTAGGGGGTTAGAACATATCAGGCAGGTAAAGCTTCGAGGTTAAACTGATACGATGGAGGAGGAGCTGGAGAGATAGCTTAGCAGTTAAGAGAACTTGCTGCTCTTGCAGAGGTCCCAGGTTGGGTTCCCAGCACCGATATCGGGTAGCTCACAACCACACACACACACACACACACACACAGAGTTCCTGGGGATGCAATGCTTTCTTCTGGCCTCCATGGGCCCTTGTACACGCGTGGAGCAATAAGTGCACTCAGGCACACACACATACACATACGTTTCTTTAAAATCGCTGTACATAGATGGAGGAAACAGGGAAGAGCAAGTCCACAAGGGCAGCCGGGATTCAGCCAGCTGTGTGGCCAGGATAGAATGGCCCAAAGGAGACGGGCAGGGCCTTCAAGCCTGCTTCAGTCGAAGGGTATTCAGCAGCTTCACCAGATATGGAGAACATTCATTCCAAGCATGATCAAAACACATAGAAAGACCCAAGGGGGAAAAACACAGGCAAACACAGCCGCCATAGCACAGAACAAATGAGGGGTGATGAGGTCAGGAAGGTGGGTGGGACCAAAGCTTTGCCTTGTGTGCACAGTTGTAAGGCTTAAGACAGGTCCTGGGGGTGGGGACTGGCATAGAATCAGCTTTAGTTGTAGAAAGACTTCTCTGGGTGGGATACAGACTGGAAAGCCAGGCCGGAGCCCCAGGAGAGGGTCCAGGACTATAGGGGGTGGAGAGAGGTGGGTGAGGAAGAAGGGGACTTGCAAATGGTAGCCTAGCTGCAGGACAGCGGGAGCAGCGGATGAGTGATAGTGGGAGAGCTGCTGTACTTTGGACAGGAAAGATGTTCAGGAACCTAGAGATTCCCAGGGAGCTGCTGTACTCTGGACAGGTAAGATGTTCAGGAACCTAGAGATTCCCAGGGAGCTGCTGTACTCTGGACAAGAAAGATGTTCAGGAACCCAGAGATTCCCAGGGAGCTGCTGTACTCTGAAGAGGGAAGATGTTCAGGAACCCAGAGATTCCCAGGAGCTTCCTCCCAGGAGAAGGACACTTGAGCTGAGTATGTGCAGCATTGCGGAGCTGGTCAAGATGAAAAAGTTCTACAGGAACAGCACAACCCTCACCAAGGCTTGGCGGCAGTAAACGCTCCCCATGTTCCAAGTGACACCACATTTAGTGCTGTTTAGAGTTTCCAGGTGGGAAGCCACCAGACAGAGAGTTTCAGAAAAGGTGAAACCATGGCATGCAAGGACTTGAAGGTGTCAGCGCCAAGCTGAAAGTGTGGACCTGGTCCTGGGGCCTGGCAGCTAGGGCTGGTGAGAGAAGAGGCTCAGCCCTCGGCACCCACTGGACCTCCCTTTCTCCTGGGCAGGTACTTCATGAACATCACCTGGGATAACCGAGACTACTCCTTCAATGAAGACGGCTTTCTGGTGAACCCTTCACTGGTGGTCATCTCCCTCACCAGGGACAGGACATGGGAAGTGGTGAGTGGCCCAGACTCCAGGCATCCGTGGGAGGGCGCCTGGATCCCTGGATCTGAGGGAGGAGGCTGGGGACTGGACCCCAGATCTGAGGGAGGAGAGACAGGTCTAGACTTCGAGGTCCTATCGAAAGTCATAATTGAAGGCCCAGGTCCTGGTCTGAAGGAGGAAGGAGCAAGGAATCTGGGTTCTGGAGGAAGATGGGACCCACAGTCCAGAAAAGCCAGGACACCCTGGAATGCCCCCAGGAAGTATGACTTGGTTCTTTTTTTTTTTTCCCCCAAGGTGGGCAGCTGGGAACAACAGACCCTCCGCCTCAAGTACCCGCTATGGTCCCGCTATGGCCGCTTCCTGCAGCCAGTGGATGACACACAGCACCTCACCGTGGCCACACTGGAGGAGAGACCCTTTGTCATTGTGGAGCCAGCGGACCCCATCAGCGGCACTTGCATTAGAGACTCAGTCCCCTGCCGGACCCAGCTCAACCGTACCCACAGGTGACAGCCCCAGATCCAGCTGGTTCAGCTTCCTCTTCCCCCAGAGGTACAGCGTGTGGTCAGGCCCCAGCTCCTCGGCCCTCCAGCTGGGTGACCTGGGGGATGCTTCAGTCTCCCAAGAAAGCACGAGCCATAGTTTTAGCTGCTGCTTGTCCCTCACCTCATGGGAGCGCCTAACAGTGGTCCCCAACCTCTCCAAGCTTGCTCTCTCCCCGCAGTCCTCCGCCTGACGCTCCCCGCCCGGAGAAGCGGTGCTGCAAGGGCTTCTGCATTGACATTCTGAAGAGGCTGGCGCACACCATTGGCTTCAGCTATGACCTCTACCTGGTCACCAATGGCAAGCATGGCAAGAAGATCGATGGAGTCTGGAACGGCATGATTGGTGAGGTAAGAGGCGGGGCAGAACCTGTGGGCGAGGAATCTGAGGATTCTAGGGAGCGGGGGCGTGGCCAAGGGAGTCTGCTGGGCTTGCTAAGGGTGCAGCCTGAGGTGGGCTGAGGGCTGAGGGCATCTTCAGAGGTACAGCCAAGAGAACTGCAAGTTCTGAGAGCGTCAGAAGGGAGCTTGGAGAAACAGCTAGAAGGGTGGCACTCCTGGGAAGTGGGGGTGGGAGGACAAAATTCATGGGAAGGGCTTTTGGAGGGTGGAACTCCAAGAAGGGGGCAAGTGGGGAGGCTGAATCCCTAGCCTTAAGCAAGTGAAGCGGATGTGGGTGAGTAGAGGAGCCCTGCTCCTGCTTCTGCTCTCTCTCCCTTACTTCCCCTGCCCCTCTGTTCCCCTCCTCACTCATCAGCCAGACCTCCTAGCCTGTCTCCCACATCATCACTGTCTCCCAGGGTCAGGCTTTGCCCAGCGCTGGCCTCTGTCCCCTGAGCTGCTTCCCTTGCCAACTCCTCGATCCACCCCAGGTGTTCTATCAGCGTGCGGACATGGCCATCGGCTCTCTTACCATCAATGAGGAGCGGTCCGAGATCGTGGACTTCTCCGTCCCCTTTGTAGAGACAGGCATCAGCGTCATGGTGGCACGCAGCAATGGCACTGTGTCCCCCTCTGCCTTCCTCGGTGAGCCAGCCAGGACAGGGATTCACACTTAGCCAAGGCCAGGACAACTGCCTCAAAGAGTGTGGGCCCTGAGTCCTGTCCCAGGGTTACCTGCGCTGGTGTCTGACTCCCACGAAGGACTCTCACTTCCAAGCTCCAGGCTCCTGATCCTGGGAGAAATCCTTTCTCTGGCAGGGATTTCAGCGGGAAGCTCAGCCAGCGTGAGCTCAGGAGCCCTCGGTTGCAGTGCCTGCCACAGCTCTGATCCTGGATTTGCAATCAGTAGTTGTTTGACTTTTGTTTACTTTGGTTTGGTTTGGGTTTTTTGTTTTGTTTTGTTTTTCCAGGTAGGGTCTCTCTATCTAGTTCTGGCTGTACAAGAACTCAGAACTCAGAGAGATCCACCTGCCTCTGCTTTCTGAGTACTGGGATTAAAGGTGTGCCCCATCACACCCAACCAGATTTTTGGTTTTGTTTCATTTTACTTCAAGATTTATTTTTGTTTTATGTGCATTGGTGTTTTCCCTGCATGTATGACTGTGTTAGGGTGCCACATCCCCTGGAGCTGGAGTTACAGACAGGTGTGAGCTGCTATGTGGGTGCTGGGAATTGAACCTGGGTCCTCTGGAAAAACAGCCAGTGCTCTTAACCAATAAGTCATCTCTCCAGCCCAGTAGTAATTTTTTTTTCGAGACAGGGTTTCTCTTGTGTAGCTCTGACTGTCCTAGAACTTGCTCTGTAGACCATGCTGGCCTCAAAATCACAGATATTCACTCATTTCCGCCTCCCAAATGCTGGGATTAAAGGCATGCACAACCACCACCAGGGAGATTTTTGTTTCTGTTTTTTGAGATATGGACTTACTATGTAGCTTAGGTTGACCTTGAACATGCAACCACTCTTTTAATCTCTGTCTCCTGAACTCAAGGATTTCTTTCTCTCTCTCTCTCTCTCTCTCTCTCTCTCTCTCTCTTTCTTTCTTTCTTTCTTTCTTTCTTTAAGATGGCTTTCCAAGGCTAGGTATACCCAGGCTCAAAAATGAGGAGGGATTTTGTTTGTTTATTTGTTTGTTTGTTTAGTGTTTTTTCAGTGCAGGAGATTGACTCTAAGACCTGGAGGACCATGGTGACTAAGACAGACAAATTCTTACCTCCTAGGAGCTGCCTGCCTCTTTAGGGGATACAGACTAGACCAGTTCCCATGGTAATAGATACCATGAGAAATCAGGCTGATGTGGAGAGAGAGAGGGGGGCACAGGGTAGAGGTTGATGTGGGTAGGAGAGAGAGGCCTTCTTGAAGAAGGAATTTCACCTTTGTAAAGATTTGAAAAAAAAAGACCACTGGAGGCAGGCAGCAACCAGCATATGGAGGGTGTGACGACTGCCCGAGACTGTGGCTGGCCTGTGTGACTGGTGAGGAGCCTGGTGAAAGGGTGGTCAGACGGCTGAGCAGGAGGTGTATCTGGCTGGACTGGGACTCTAATACTAAGTCTGGTGACAAGGGCTTAACTTCAGAAGGTAATGAGGATATGTGCTCGCTGTGAATTGATGATAGCCCTGTGGGAGCAGGAAGCTGGCAGGGGTAGGGGCTGCCGCAGTGACCCTGACACAAAGGATGAAGATGTGTAGGAAGCTGGCGGGGTGGGGGCTACCGCGGTGACCCTGACACAAAGGATGAAGATGTGTAGGAAGCTGGCGGGGTGGGGGCTACCGCGGTGACCCTGACACAAAGGATAAAGATGTGCAGGAAGCTGGCGGGGTGGGGGCTGCCGCAGTGACCCCCGACACAAAGGATGAAGATGTGCAGAAGCATGGCGGCAAGGTCGGATGGATGCAAGTTTGGGGTGGTCAGGAAGCCACATTGTGGTACCTTGTGTAGAAACACCATCTCTGGAGACAGCAGACGTGGGCAAGAGAACAAGGCTAGCAGGTCACTTCCGTTTCCCCTTTGCTCTGGCCATCTAAGCAAGGCTCCTCAGAGAGAGAGAGAGAGGACAGAAGGAGAAAGATCCTTTCCCTTGGGGACCAGGCGATCCTTTCCCTTGGGGACCAGGCTTGTTCCTTGCTGACCGTGGGGGTGTGGAGGACTAGCCCAAGGAGCTTGAGGAGCAGGAGCAAGGAGCGGGGGCAAAATTTGTCATCTATGACCAAGAAAGATGGATGACAAGGAGTGTGGCCTGGGGCTGGGTTGTCATGGGTGCCCAGATGCAGAGCCTGGGGTGGCAGTATAACCCCTGAGTGGAAGCTAAGAGGTGAAGATTCAGACCCTGGGCTCAGGGAGCATTTAGGAGACCGCTAGACTAGGGGGTGAGAGCTACAGAAATGGTCCCGATAGCTCTTGGGATGTACTGATAGTCTGTCCGTGAAGTGGGCACCAGAAAAGGGAACAGATGGATGGAGTCAACTGGGCTCCACCTGGTCCCCCAAGCCCCTGCTCGGCTGACACCTCCCGTGTCCCCAGAGCCCTACAGCCCCGCTGTGTGGGTGATGATGTTCGTCATGTGCCTCACCGTGGTTGCCGTCACCGTTTTCATCTTTGAGTACCTCAGTCCTGTAGGCTATAACCGCAGCCTGGCCACGGGCAAACGTGAGTCCCCTTCCTGCCTGACCCTATGCAGAACTATATTTCCCAGTAGCCCCTGGAGTAGAGCTAAAAACGGCAGTCCTTTCTCCTCTCCTGGAAAGTGGAAGGAATGTGAGGTACCTTCCTGTCCTGGCCCCCACAGGCCCTGGTGGCTCAACCTTCACCATTGGGAAATCCATCTGGCTGCTGTGGGCCCTGGTGTTCAACAACTCGGTGCCAGTGGAGAATCCGCGGGGCACCACCAGCAAGATCATGGTTCTGGTGTGGGCCTTCTTCGCCGTCATCTTCCTCGCCAGCTACACAGCCAATCTGGCTGCCTTCATGATCCAGGAGGAGTATGTGGACACCGTGTCTGGGCTCAGTGACCGAAAGGTGCGTACAGGGGTAGGCCAGCTGGCTCGTCACCTGTCCCAGAACAGAGAGGTTCCAGAGCAGTAGAGATGGGAGGTTTGGAAGAGGATGAATGATTTAAACGGTTCTGGGTGTCCCCAGTGTCCCAGGAGCAGCAATGCAATAAAGACGTCATTCATACTGCAGCTAGTCCACGGGAGACTGTGCTTGAGGAGATACGCCAGCCAGGAGTTACTAGAAATGTAATAACACAACATCAGGACGTCCAGGAGTCAATCTCGGGCTAATGATGCAGGCCTGTAGTCACTGCCCTCCAGAGGTGGAGGCAGAGGACCATGAGTTCAAGGACAGGCTGGCTATGTAGTGCGTCCCTGTCTCAAATAAGAACAGCAGTCAAGTCAACTCCAGATTTTTAATTAGATTCAACATGCATAAAACCATTCCATCAAAGCACTCAGAATGCCCACCCTCTGGGCTTGTGCTCTTGCCGTGTGGCGCCAGCCACAGAACACAGGGATAGCAGTCGTGAGGGACACTGTGAGGTTACAGTGGCTACCCAGCCTCTCAGACTGTTGGCGGGTTGTGGGGTAGATGGGATAGGTTGCATTGAGCACTGTTTTCAGTGGAATAAAGATAGAATAGCAGAATAAACAGAAACCATACATTACATACCATACCTTACATGTAGCAAGGGGAGTGTGGTTCTGTCTGCACTCTGAGCCAGCACACCCCTGTGCCTACATTTGTGCTTACACACAGAGCTATTTCTGAATAGACTGCTTAGCCCACTCCAGAGCCAGCAAACTAAGGGCTGGCTCTCCAGAATGGGGCATTGGATTTGGGAGTTTCCTAGAGGCTACATTAACAATTCCCCTTCTGTTCAGTTCCAGAGGCCCCAGGAGCAATACCCACCCCTGAAGTTTGGGACGGTGCCCAACGGGTCTACAGAGAAGAACATCCGCAGCAACTACCCTGACATGCACAGTTACATGGTGCGCTACAACCAGCCGCGAGTGGAGGAGGCTCTCACGCAGCTCAAGGCAGGGTCAGCGCAGACTCGGGCAATGGGGCCTCGAGCGTTTGGGGAGGGGTGGGACCCCCCGTCTGAGGTCAGCCTGGGGCAGTTCACTAAGGGGGCCTGGAAGACTCAGAGCTTCAGTGCTTTGTAACCGTAGACACTTGATACAACGCTCTGAATCTGTTTCTTGTACGTAGTCAGGATCATAAAGGCAGCTCCTTGGTACGAAGTTTGGTCAGGAGTGGTGGCATGTGCCTTTAATTCTGCCATTTGGAATTAAAGTGGGGGCAGCTCTTGGTGAGCTCCAGGCCAGCCAGGGCTTCATACTGAGACCTTGTCTTAAAACGACCAGAACAACATAGTTAACCCCACAGAACAGTGGCCAGAGCATGGTGGCTCTCTGTAGACAGATTTTTCTTTGAGCTGCCAGCTCACAAAAATGACATGACTTATTATTAATTATGAAAGCTTGCCTATAGCTTAGGCTTGTCCCACTAGCTCCTATAACTTAAATTAACCCATTTCTATTCATCTGTTTTGTCTCATGGGCTTTTTACCTCTCTTCCATCCTGTACCTCCTGCTTCCTCTCCATCCCTTCTGGGTCTTCCTGTACCTAGACTCATCTCCTCTTCTCAGAGGGCCCGCCCATCTCCTCCTGCCTAGCTATTGGCCCTTCAGCTCTTTATCAACCAACTGGAAGGCGCCTTGGCAGAGCCACATCCGCACACACAGATTACTCCATGGCGGCTTTGCCATAGTTATTGTGCTGTTATCATCAGTTCTGAACTCTGCAGTGAACATCTGGGTTACAGGAAAGGGTCTGTATTTTTTTTTTTTTTGGTTTTTCAAGACAGGGTTTCTCTGTGGCTTTGGAGCCTATCCTGGAACTAGCTCTGTAGACCAGGCTGGTCTCGAACTCACAGAGATCCGCCTGCCTCTGCCTCCCGAGTGCTGGGATTAAAGGCGTGCGCCACCATCGCCCGGCGGTCTGTAATTTTTTATGTTAGCTCTGTAAATCATAGGTATACAGTTAAATTCAGTCCCCAGAGTGTAGCACCCTGATATGGCAAACCTAGTTTAGGTCCTGGGTTGTGATTCAGTAGTAGAGGGCTGGCCTGGTGTGCCCCAAACCCAGGGTCTGTTCCCCAGCACGGCGGTTTCCTAGGTTGAGTGCCCCTCATTTATTTAGTCTTTCAGCATGGTTTTTTTCTTATTGCCTTTTTGTGCTGGACTAATATTAGACAGACATTTCCTGTTCTCAGTTCCTGAGGGTCTAGGGTGAAAAATGAGTATCAAACACACAAACTGGCAGGGTCACCGGGCGTCAGAGTGGGCCCCTCGGCAGGGTCACCGGGCGTCAGAGTGGGCCCCTCGGCAGGGTCACCGGGCGTCAGAGTGGGCCCCTCGGCAGGGTCACCGGGCGTCAGAGTGGGCCCCTCGGCAGGGTCACATCACCAGGTGTCAGGTGGCCTTCTAGGAAGAGGGAGTGTGTCCACGCTCTCAGGGTAGATGCAGAGCCTTGAGGCAGAGGTGTACGGAGTCCCTGAGGTAGCTGTGGAGGGATCGGGAAGAGTAGGTGGCTGAAGGGCAGAGGAGAGTAGGGCCAGTGGTGAGCCCTGAGGACATCAGAGTTGGCTCTTGTGACAAAGTGGTGAGACACCTTTGTAGGAGATTAAGCAAAGAAGCCTCCATTCTTGTCCCCAAGTGTCCTTTACTGCAGTGGGGAATGGTAGAGGGGCCATAGGGGAGCAGGAACAATGTGGAGGCCATTATGTCGTCTAGAAACTTCCTTCCTCAACTCACCTTCCTGCTTGCCCCTCCAGCAGCTGTCCTGGCTGGATCTGTTACCCCTTTGTCTCAGTGGATTGTTGAGCGCATCTGCGGTAGGCACAGTATAGGGTCAGCCTGGGCCCGCAGCTGAAGTCTTCATGAACACATTGCAGAGCAGTTCTGGGAGAGGTTTGTACTTGGAGACCATGGTCGGCAGCAAGCAGATTCCTGGGTTGGTAGGATTTTAAAGCCAGTTTTAAGACACTGGTTTCTATGTCTCCTGGGATGGCAAATCCAGGGAGCCAATCATGGTGATTCATGCCTGCCGGAACTCTATTGAGAGATTAGGGGCATTCTGAACTACATAGCGAAACTCTGTTTCAAAAAAAAATTGCTAGGCTAGCAGGACAATTTAAAGATTTAAACTCTCTACACATTTCTGCTCTGCCAAACTTGCGGTTTTGACCTTCGTGCTCATTTGGTTGCCTCGTGGTCGCAGGAAGTCTGTTGCTGCTCTGCGCAGCATACCCTAGTTCCAAACATGGAGGGTCTTCGCCTGGAAACCCTGTCTCAGGGACTTCCGTGTTTATAAGATCCTATCAAGCAGCCATACGCAGTTGTCAGGGACACCGGAAAGATGGACGTGTAAGCTGAGGATGAGGCTGTGACCTGAGGTGCGCTCTCTATCTGCCGAGTCCCACACCATGCTTTAGCCCAGCAAAGTTCTTTGGTAGCTCTCCGTCTCTGCCTCTCTATCCTCTCTTTCTGGGGTCACATGGACTGTGTACCTAAACTTTCTATGAGCCAGTGAGCCTCCCCTTGGGCCGGGCTTCAGCACTCCCTATCCAGGAACTCCGTTTTGTCTCCTGCAGTGCATGTTCTGGCGTCAACCCTTGGTAGGTGCCTCCTTCTCCACCCTCTCCCTGCACCCACTATTCATATGGCAGGTGTTGCTGAGAATCCAGGCAAGCACCCTCAAAACTTCCCAGGACTCTATGCTATGGAAAACTTTGTATGGTGAGCTAGGGAACCAGCATGGTAGCCTTCCTGCCTTGACAGATAACTCTGAACAACCCAAAAGGAATGTGACTGATGGCTCTTTCCATTCCCGGGGTTACAAGGATTGACTGGCCTGCCTTTCCCTAAAGCTGAATTCTTGCCTTTCCTTTCTTCAAGGGTACCCACCATCTCTGGTGCACGCCCCCCAATTGCTCAGAACAGACCTCTCCCTTGTTGAGGAGGGTTAGAATGGGTGTGGAGGTTTTTCAAAGTACCAGGTTCCCAGAGCAGAACCTAAAAGAACTGTTCCAGCCTCAGGGGCTCCATGCTCTGTGGGGGACACAGAAAAAGAGCCTGCTCCCCAAGGATCGGACACAGCATGTGCTCAGCAGTTCCTTGTTTGCCTTGGGTCTTTTTGTTTTGTTTTAATTTAGTTTTTGAGACTAGTAGATCACAGAGATCCGCCCGCCTCAGCCTCTGGAGAGTGCTGAGTCAGAATTGGACTCCTGGCCCACTCATCAGCTTTTTTGGCAAATGTTCCATGAGTACCTCTAATGCATTAGTAGTTCCTCGGCCTGATGCCCAAGTCCCCATCCACTTGTAATTTCCACTGGAGATGGGGAGACAGTGGGGTGGGCAAGGCTGCAGAGCTGCTTGCTGTACAAGCCTGAGGGCTTGGGTTCAAATCCTCAGGACTCAAATAAAAGCTAGGAGTGGCAGCATGTGCCTGTAACCCCAGCACTGCCAGGGCGAAGGCAGGTGCTCACCAGCCACACTCTCTGATGGAAGAGCCCCAGGCTCAGGGAGGAGCCATAGTTGGAGAGATCGCTTACAGGCACTAAACAAGTGTTAAGGAGCTTCCATCGCCAGCATCTGCACAAAAAGCTTGGTGCGCAGGTGTGATCACCTGTAACCCAGCACTGTGCGGGACACAGGGACGGGACGGCTGGGCTTGCTAGCTGCTCACCTTGTTCCAGGATCCGTGAGAGACCCTATCTCATGGGAATGAGGTGGAGCATGCCAGAGCAGATCACACTCTGTCCGCCTCTGGCCTCCGTGCACTTCACAGGCACACAAACGCCATCCACACTAACACACACACATTGAAGATGGACAGTAATTGAAGACATCCAATAATGACCTCTGGTTTCTACACACATGTACACACACATCCATATACACATGTACATAACATGCACGCGCACACGAGAGAGAGAGAGAGAGAGAGAGGTGGGAGGGCATCTGAAGTCATCTCAGCTCCTGGCATCTGGCCAGAAGCATCTGGTCTTTTTTTTTATGGTTTATTTAACTTTATTTTATGTGCATTGGTGTGAAAGTGTCAGATCCCCTGCAACTGGATCTTTAGGCAGTTGCGAGCTGCCATGTGGGTGCTGGGAATTGAACTTGGGTTCTCTGGAAGAGCAGTCAGTGTTCTTAACCACTGAGCCATCTCTCCAGCCCCAGCACCTGGTCTTTTAGCTGCTGTTTGCCTCTGTGCTGGGGCCCTGTGGTTCTCATCCCCAGGGCCTGGCATTCCGTTAGTTTTTGGGAACAGCAACAGCAGCACCACCAAGACTCTGGTGACCTGGGTCTGACGGAGCTGTGAACCTGACGCACCGTTAGCCAGTGCGCTTCTGCCTTCGCCTCCCTCCGGCTCAGGCCTCTTGTGCTGCTGCCTCCGTTCCTTTCCACCCTGAAGCTGGGAGGCCTTCATGCCTCCTTCCCTCTGTCATGAAACGGTGTGTTTGCTTAGCACATCATAGTTCAGGTCGTCCCTCCTTAAGTCAGTGTTGCGCCATTCCCTTCATCCTTCCTTCCGGAACAGGGCTGTGAGCTAAGTGTTAGTCAGGAAAAGATGGGTGTGAGGTTAATCTCATGCTTGTCACTCTAACTCAGAATGTTATCTCTCTAACACGTACTTAATTAATCTAAGCCCTGACTAAACACCTGCCCTTTGGAGGGTCCCAGGCATATTTTATGCTCCCATTGCACTTTGATTTGGACTTGCGAAATCTCCTTTTTCTTTTCTTTCTTTCTTTTTATTATTACTACAGCTTTTGGACACAGGGTCTCCCCATGTAGCCCTGGCTGGTCTGGGACTCTTGGAGATCCTGCTGTCTCTACCTCGCAAGTGCACTACCACTTAGTTCCGAACTGTCAGTGTTTTAAAAAGATTTATTATATCTACAGTGTTTTGTCTGCATGTATTCCTGCAGGCCAGAAGAGGGCACCAGATCTCATTACAGATGGCTGTGAG